CAGACATCCTCGGGGTAAACCTGCTTCATTTCAGCCGCAGTGATGGCCTTATCGGTCCAGAGATCCCCATATTTCTCTTTGTGTAAAGAAAAGATAATTATTGCTGTTTCAGGCTCAGGGATTTCAGAGCAGGGTCTTTTTTTGTGGAAAAATACTTTTGTTAGCCTGTTTGGCTTACATATGAAGATGATTTTACTTCTCAGTTTGGGGTATATTATGCCCCTCCCAGTCCCTACACTTCCTTCTTAATCAGACACTTCTTTCAGTCTTGCATAAGTTGAACTCAGTGGTGAACCGTCAGGGCCTTCAAGGTATTCAGAGAATATCCTGAAACACTAAATAAAATGAATAAATGAGAATCATATCTGTGTTGTTCATCTGTAATATTACAGTGTTACGTTGATTTGTTTGTCCTTCTCGGACCATGCACTACGCATTTCAGTGGTTTTGTGTTAGAAAAGAAAGCAACCAATCAGATCTTGTTCTGGGTCTCTTGGTAGAATATCCTTCAACCAAGGTATTCTACATCCTTGATAGAATGCCCTGGCCGTTGCACTGAATGAGAGCGTACGTGTGGACTGACAGTTTGATCAACCAATCATATATTGATTTGTAGCCAATGAGCGTGTTCTTTCAGAGTTTCCCTCGGTTCCAGGGTGCTCCAAAGATCGCAGGGCCTCAGATGATTTGAGGCCAAATATCATATTTAGACTTTATTTTTATTTATTTTTTAACGCAATACATGATTGTCACTAAAAGCCTTGTCTCTACATTACAATAAAATATAAAAAATAATTGATTAATTAATTTGAATACAAATTTAAGTTAGTAGCTATTAAAGGCATAAAAAAAAAAAAAAGTATAATTCTTTCTTTAATAGAAATGTTTCTTCTGCCCGTAAAGTGTCCAAACCAGGCTTGTCTGGATAAGCGCATTTTTAAAACATAGTCATTGTCCATGCCGGTTTCAGTTGGATTATTTGTCACAGTTGCTCCGATCAGATCGGTCTCCTCCATTTTGTAGATTATTTACGACTTTTGAATCCACATAAACACATCGGCAAAATCCGGTTTACTTTGAGCATGTGTTTTAAACAGTTTAATCCCTCTGTGAATTGTTTCCACTTGCGCCGTCCTTTAATTTCGTCATACAGCGGGAATCCAAATGAATTAATCCTGAGTCCAATAACCATCAAAGTCACTCCAATAGTGCTCCTTAATTACGCTTTCATCCTCCTTTAACAACATACTTCACATTCATCCAGTTTGTGACTGTAGTTGTAGCATTTTGAGACTTTTAAACTTTAATTACCGCTGTTGCGCCCCCTATCCCCCCTTGTGTGTGGTCATTTGGGGGGGCTCTTGGGAAAAAAGGTTGGGAACCAGAACCACTGCTCTAGAAGGCCCGTTAGTTCACTGGCTCGAGACAGAGGATCTAGATAAATGCGACATATCAATTCGTTTTAAGTGTTATTGTTTTTAACGTTGAAATGGCAACAGGTGAAGATGATGTTGTTGCGGAATTGTACCCTTTTCAAGGCGACAATTCAGTGAAGAGACGGACATTATAACGGTGGCGGCGGGGGGTGTGTGTGTGTATACAGTGGTCCAGTTGTGATAGACACGGTTTGCCACTGGTAGAACTATACTCACACAATCACTGAGGGACTGAGGCATCGGCATTGCTGGTGAAGCCATCCTGTTTCCAACTGATATCATTAAACCTTAATCAACTCCAAAGCCACCCCCCCCCCCATAACCCACCTGTCTGATAATCTGCTGCCAGCCCACTAGCTGTTCAATGTTGAGTGCGTGGTGATAACACTGTAATCAGACGCCTACTTTCCCACAGGGCGGTAAATAGCGTCGCTTGCAGTTACAATACATCTGATGGAATCTTTTTCCATTAGACTGTACCCAAAGTCATAACAGAAACACAGGCGCATATCCCGAAAACAGATATGTTTAGTGCCTTGCGTAGCTTCAAAGTGATGCTCCTTGCGTTATTTTTGATTGTGTGTCACTTACTTAGTTTTAGTAAGATGTTTTCAGGTCACTAGATTGTTGTTAATCCATTCCCCAATGATGAGAAAAGTTAAGTATTTTCATCTTTATTTTCTGATCTTCAAGTTTGAGTTTCTTCCTTTTGTTCAACAACAGTGGCATCCAGCGATGATGCAAACTTGTATGAGTAATAATCCAACATACAGTATATATATCTGTATTTTTTATACTCACTACTGTGACTAATTTAATGCAACTATGACTCAGTGTTGAATCCATGTGAAGGGAAACGATGAATTTGAATATTTGTACCGTTTGTCAAGATTAACAACCCACCATTTTATGATCTTTGAAGGCAGCAATTTGGGCGTATTTTCCTCAAATTCTGTCACATATCGTCAGCTGTTATAGACCTGTTGTGAATACCCGTTTTGATCGTAGGGGCAGGAGTGAATTGTTCATGACAGCGGAAACCATTAAAGTAATTTGAGCAGCTGTCTCCACAGACCATCAAGGTCTTGTTAGAATGGTATTATTATATTGATTCTGGTGTGGAGCCCGAGGCTGCCTGTGCCCTTGCTCATGGCAGACAGCCAGGATGTGTTTATTTTCAACAAGAAAGAGGAGCAGGGTGACAGCAGACTGATGGCCGCAGAGGTAAAAGCAGACGGGTGTTAGTTTGAGTCTTAGCTGGGAACGTCTTGTCTTGAGGTGAATGTGATATGCTTTTTGAAACTTTTATTCTTTGATATTTGCTGTAATTGTGTCTCCGAGCAATGCATTTAGCTGACAACAAATCACCTCGTCTGAAAGGTTCAGGCCACCTATAAATCCAGACTCAGTTGAAGTTATGCTTCAATGTTTCACAAACTACGCTTTCTCGCTTTGTTTCATGCTTTTATTATTTAGATCTCCAGAGCTTTTTGCCCAGTCCTTTATCTCCAATGATTCTGAAATACCTGTTTCATCTTGTAAGGGTTGGTGGTCTGCAAGATGAAAGGAAAACAATGTGAATCAGTCTAGCATATTAGAAATATATTAGAATCCAAACCAAACAACAAATCCTTATATTTCCAAGAAACCTACTTGTTGTGGAAATATTTTCCAAGGCCCATAACTTTGACCCAGTTTATCAGTTCAAACTGTCCTGACTGAGCACACGCACCTCGTAACCTTGGCTGCTGTGCTCTCAGTGTTCTGTCTCCCTGTTCCTGCCTGTTGACGTCAGCTGATAGAGGTGTTATGCAGCAGTTTGATGCTCTCAGAACTAGTTAAATACATGGGTCTGAGGTAGAGTTCTTTAGAATTGACGTGGCATCTCTACCGTGAAGTCAGAACCTCTGGCTCTTGGACTTGTGATGTGAATCCTCCGGCCGTAACTCCAAATAAACCATCAGTGTTTGACATCAAAGCTACTGCTCCTACCGTGTCTCCTTCCTGAGTCGGTGACTCCCACTGCGTTGCTACACAGAATTTTCCTCTACACTACTGATGGTCCTGATGTGGGACCTGAAAAACCAGCATATTTGAACAGCTTTGTTGTGCAAAATATGCTTTCGTTCCTTTATTCTTCTAAAGCAGTTCCATTTCTCTTCTGTAGCAGATACTCACCAACCATGTTTTTCGTCCTTAAAGAGGAAATGTTATATACAATAATCGTACATGCTACTCATACCAGAAACTACTTGTAATGTAATTTTTTTTATGTAAATATCACTATATGTTTCATGATTTAAAATCTGTCAAAGAGTCAGAAACATTTCAGAAAATCCATTCAGGATGTAATGTGTGTTCTATTAAAAGCACTGCACATTAAGTCTGTTGTTGGAGTATGTACAGCGCTCTTTGACCTGGCGTGGGTGCCTGTGAGAGTTGAACTCCACTAAGAGCTACTTTATGAATATACTCTTAAAGCTGAAAGGGTCTGCACACTGCACGATGACATATGTGCAGTATCGAACACTGTAAAAGCACTCGAAAGTGGTTTTCCTTTCTGTCCATGCATGAATGTGAGTGTTCACATGATGTGTTTTGTACAGATTCAGAGTAAAGCTGTGTGGTACTCTTGTGATATCTGTCTCCAGAGCGACCAACTTCTCACATCCCACTCTCTGACGCAAACAAAGAAGCATCTGTGCAGAGAGGGGGTGTCAACTTTGCAATCAAAACAACAGATCTGACTACAGTGCAAAGTGGGCGCTGTGTTTCATTTAGCAACTGTACAGCTGTGATATCAGCCCAAAGGCACGTGCTGCTCCTGCTGAACCTCATCGGCTTCAATCAAATGATTCTATTTGACTCAGTTTTCAGATTGTCCTCCTACTTTATGCTGTTCTAGTATCTTTTATGGATATTTTGACCATGTACACGTAACAGTAACAACAGTGACGGATCTACACTATTTTTGCATGTTTATACGTCCCATAGAAAAGTGGTATGTCACTTCCTTGGCTTATTTATTATTTAGGGGCCCTTTTATTGTTTTGGGGGTGTTCCTTTTCCTTCAGTGTGTTCCTTAGTACACACTAACGGAAAGGGTTCATGTAAATGGTCTGCAAAGGCTTAAATCCTAAAGTTCACGCCAAATCCTAAAGCTCCAAACCAAAAGCTCCAAACCTAAAGCTCCAATCCTAAAGTTCACGCCAGAGGGAGTTTCTCGTTCACATGCAGCAGGAAAGGTCAGCTTGTGAAGTTTTGGTCTTGATAAGCTTCTTTGAAGTAAGCTCAACTTTCACTGGATGATGATTGAATTGAGATGGTGAAAAATATTGCTAACATGCAGCCTAAAGGGATGCAGACCCTTAATTAAGACACATGGCACATACGGTGTAAAATGCAAAGTAGAAAACTAATGTGCTGATGGTTTATTGAAATGCCGAATTGAATCATTAATCTTTAAGTACGTCTTTTCTCAAATGGGATGGTTTTAAAGTTTCACCATTGCCCTGATTTAACCATATCTCCTTGTCTTTCCTCTCTGTCCTCCCTTTTCTGCAGATTGAAGACATTGTCACTCTCATCCAGGATGAAGAGGAGGGCGTGCCCATCAGAACTGTCAAAAGTTTCATGACCAAAATCCCCAGTGTTGTCACAGGTAAGGAGAATAAAGTTATATTTTCAAGTATTCCACAAACATTGAGACTAAAGTAAATATTAGGTAATGGATACAGTATTCATATAAACTTGGGTTTCTTTTTACTACATACATTTTTAAACAACAATCCCAGGTGTTTACGTAACACATGTGTTAGCTGCTTTTCATTCTGGTTCTTCTGCTGAGGCTGCGGCTGTGCTTTTTTTTAGTAGTGTCTTACTGGAGAATAACTGAATAGCTGGAGGGAAAGTGGGAGGACAACACATAATTAAACGTTTGTAAAAGAAAGTGAGAGTGGAAGCAGAATGAGTAATGCTGTCCTCCTACTGTCAAAGTGCCCTTAAGCAAGGCACATCAACCTCTGACTGCTGCAGTGGATCTGGGCCTGTTGGTGTGTGGAAGCGCAGGGAAACATCAACACAAACATTTACAAAAGAGAAAATAAAAGCATTATCAGCCAGTTGCTCTTGCAGGTGGGATTGAAGTCTGCAGGCTGTTGTTTCTTCGACTGATAATTCAAATCACTCTAAAACTCTGGAGCCACGTGGGAGGCTCTGACACGCCCCGAACAAATGATGGAAAGAAAGAAAGGCTATTAACATTTTTCTTTCTCTCAGTCCTTAGCTCAATATGCCATAAGCAGAGCATATCAATAAACACAATTACTACAGCGGCGGATGGTTTTGTAGAACTGCAGCTCAAATGTTTGAAGCTGATCGCTGGGGGCAAGAAAAACCAATGAATGATGAAGAATTAAAACACGGACGGAGAGAAAGAAGAACAAATTAGATGATTCTCTCCCCGCCTTGACAACATGCTTTTTAGTATCTTCTTTAGCTATTTTAAAAGATACATTATGTGAATATTGCTGTTCTGAATGTCAGTGGGATAAGATAACTTTACATTTGGGCATTTTAGGACATTTACCTTTTACCAAGATAAATCTGTGTTTTCAGTTTATAGGTCATTTAGGAAATGTCATTATTTACTAATTATGAATTTAGACCCAATGGAACTCGTTGTTTATATTTTATTTGATCCATCTTTTCTTGTTCACGTTTAGTTTTTTATTTAAAGGTGAATAAATTATATACTTGTTAAATTCAGCCTCAACATTTGGTTCAAACGATTAGAACCTTTCATTTCTTGATTACTTCCTTGATCCTTTCCCCCCATATTCTTACATAGTTAATTCATTAATAACACCTGTCTTTTTCCTCTGTCCTGTCTCAGGTACAGATATTGTTCAGTGGCTGATGAAGAACCTGGCCATAGAGGATCCAGGTGAGGTCTGACAGACGATAGCACCCTGTTAAATAATGACTTTGTTAAAGGAAACAGCCTCCCATGACAACAAAAGCTGCCTTTTTTAGTAAAGAAAACTGAAATACAGAATCTATTGGATGCAGCATTTCCTAGTTCTAGATTATTGCAGGCACAAATAACCAATTATTTGAGTTGGACATTATGTGGCTGTCAAATGTATAATGTGCAATATAAAATACAGGGAAACATTTATCTTCATGTGGAGAAATTGCTTTAAATGACTGCTAGATAGGTTTCTCACAAGACATTCAGAGCTTACCACAAACTGTATAACCTTTCATATACCGATATGAAAGGTTATACAGTTTGTGGTAAGCTCTGAATGTCTTGTAAGAAACACATTTTAAATGTCATACTTTAAGAAGCATTCATACTGCCATGATTGAAATACATAACAGAAGATTTTTGCACCTACACTTACCAAAAGTCATGAGTTGGCAACATTGGCAAATGCAGCAGGGAAGAAAGAAAGGAAAGCTATATTTTGCTTTCGATCTGTTGTGTGGTTGACCTGACCCGAGGCATGGTGGTGGGAGTCGGTGTTTATTGTTGGTTCAGATCCCACAGCCTGGACATTGAGTCTTTGAGTCATCCATGTACATCCTCCCCTCAAACCAACCCTGGGCTGAAATCCAATTTAAATTCAGAAAGATTCTCATAAAACACTTTAAATGTGACTCATAAACATCAATGTACATGTTTGGATATTCATATATTCTGAAAAGTCATCTCCTTCATTTATTGTAGTCATTTCTTACTCAAAAGCTATTTTATCAGGAGTGTGGATTGTAATGCCATTGTCCTGATATTACCACGGCTTAGTTGATTACATCCAAGTGGATATTGTATCACAGATAATATGTGAAGAGCTGAGTACTGATCAATACATCTTGTTCCTGTCCTCTCACAGCTGAGGCCATGCACATCGGGAGTCTCATTGCAGCTCAGGGGTACTTCTTCCCCATCTCAGACCACGTCCTCTCCCTCAAAGACGACGGCACTTTCTACCGCTTTCAGGTGAGCAGAGAGCGATTATAAAAAGAGAGGAGGCCACAGGAGAAGTGGCAACATTTAGTATCAATAGATAGTGTTTATTTAGATCAGAATCAGAAATCCTCCCCTGTCCTTCAGTGGGGGAATTAGTTTGTTATTGGGTAGCAGTGGTGTAACAGCCTGTATTGTGTGGTGGTCTAGTAGAGACTGTTGTGATTTATCTAGACTGATCCTCAGAGTGCAACCAAATTAGTTCTCTGAAATTAGGTTTATAGTACTCAATACTCAGTGTTAATCCTATAGGTTTAGGGTTACATGTCTGTTAACGATCCTGAAATATGTAATTGACTTTTTGTTGAACGTCTCTTTTATCACCTGATACTGAGTGGTATATCAAATGTTGCCATGAAGGCCAACACATTGATTTTTTAAACATTGTTAACATTTCCATGCAGTATGAGGTCATTCCTAAGAGTAGTATTCTACGTTATGTAACATAGTATGTGGAAAGAGACCTTATGAATTAGATAACGCCCAAAAATATGTACTTTCAATGGACTGTACATTTGAGATATTTAATGTTTTGATGCAACATTAAATATAGACACATTTGGGACAGTGCACATGGAGACAGGAATAAATATTGAGGCAACCTTTTTAGTTTTCAGAAACTCAGACCTGTCTCTATAGAAAATAAGCCACCCTGAATTTGGCGTCATCCTTGTGTAACAATTGTAAATTCGCAAGAAAAGTTAGCTTGTGAGTAATGGCTTTACACATGGGTCTAATAATGGCACTTTATTATAAATGGATTACAATCGTTGCTGTTCTGCTATAACTGCAAATTGCCCTGTGCCTTTCAAATCAGACCTAAACTCAAACTAATCCAGCTTTATAGTGTGAGAGATATGAGCAGGCGAGGTTAATCTGATTGTGGAGGCGCTTCTTTCTCATAAAGACTTTAATAACCTTAAGATTACTTTGCCTGTTTGGGAATTACAACACACCAATCTTGATCTTGATGAAACGCAATTCCCTGTCTGCAGCTTGTTGGGATCCTGTGACCCTATTAAAAATGAATGGTGATCTGTTCAAATATTCATCAAGCGAACGAGTGAAGCCGGGTGAGTAGGAGGAAACCAAAAGCCTGACTGAGACACAAAGTGTAGTCTCATCAAGGGACAAAAAGCAAAGGAAAGCGTGCTGACATTTTACTCCTCCATTGTTCGCAGATAAAACGGTGGCTTTGAAGTCACAGATTAATTAAGCCAGACTGTTCTAACCAGAATAAAAAATGGGAAACAACGTTATGACATTACTCAGTGGCACGTGGCGAAAAATTATCTCTGTGTAGCATCTTCCTTCCTTCCTCTTCACGGAGTTGTTGGAGGAGCTCTTTAATTAAAGGAGACGGCAGTTCACATTATCGAGCTTTGACCTTGCTTCTCATTCAAAGTGAAGTGGTAGAGAAGTCAAGAGCAGCAGAAAGAAAGGCGAGGGCTGTTCGACATAAAAAGATTCATGAAGACCATTCAGTAGCGTTTCATTTCCCAGGAAAACTAAGTGCTAATCAAAGAGAAACACAAAAGAGGAAAGTGAAAAACAATTAACAATTTCTGCTTTTATTGAAACAAGTGAATGCTTGTGAAACTGTGATTCAAATCTCCTCCCAGCTATCTCAATCAGCATCTGTTCCTCGCCTGCTGGCTTTATTATTCTGCTTCCCAACTGTTTGTTTTGCAGCTTTCATTGCTACTCGTTTGGCTGTGTTGCTGCAGTACTCCCACGCCTCTGCAACATCCCAGGATGCCTCTAACCAGGGAAAAAAGTATTAGGAGTTGTCAGCTGTTCTTGAATCTGTTCAATACTGATAATACACATATTTTGATTGCCCACATAGTGGTGCAAAGCAATCAGGTGCACTGATGTGTCTCCGAGGCAAAACAACAATCTCACAAAGGTCGTCACCTCCTCAGATTTCATCGGAAAGTCTTGAAATTACACCTGCAAGGATTTGACTCTGTTTTTTAGTCACTAACCACAGTTTTCCACTCTCACCTTTTCACTTGTTTCTCGTCAGGCTCCATATTTCTGGCCGTCCAACTGTTGGGAGCCTGAGAACACGGACTATGGTAAGAGGGACACATTTAAATGTTGTCCTATTTTCTTTCTTGCACATTTTTGCGATAAGTCCTCTGTAACATGTGTTCTTCCATATTTGAAGAATCAATTTTTTTCATCCAATTGATTTTTACTAAGATAGTGTTTACTGTAAAGTGAAAAAAGTAGTATCATCAATTGGCACAAAAACACAGTAATTGTTTGTAGCCTTTATTTAACCAGGTGAAGCCCCTTGAGATCAAAAGATCTCTTTTTCAAGGGTGACCTGCAGGACATTAGTTACACATGTAACATAAAAACAACAGAACAACAATAAGGATGACATACAACATAATGTACAGGGTACAGTTTACAAACTCTATTTACAGTGACAGGTACCATGAGTATCAAACAGCATGTCACCCAGCCGAGTTTTAAAATGATGCAGGGGAACCAAAGTGCTCAGTTTTAAACATGTTTGCAGACTGTTCCAATTTAGTGGAGCTGCACAACTAAAAGCTTTCTTCCCTAAGACAGTCCTAGCACTTGGCACATTTAATAAAACAACATCATGAGATCTCAGGCAATATGTACTTTCAATTCGTCGAGAGATCAGAGAGCAGATATAAAAAGGTAGTTTACCCAGCATGGCTTTGTAAATGAACATGTACCAGTGACTGAGCCTCCGTACAGTTAGTGAAGGCAGACCTGCCTTGGCATACAGGGTACAGTGATGAGTAAGTGCTTTACAGTTAGTAACAAATCTCAGGGCACTGTGATAGGCGGCATCTAACTTTTCCAGGCAATGGGCAGGTGCATTCATATAGATCAAATCACCATAGTCCAGCACAGGTAAAAAGGTCACAGTGACTAGCCTTTTCCTGGCTTCAAAAGAGAAACAGGACTTATTTCTGAAAAAGAAACCTAGTCTAACCCTCAGCTTTTTAAGCAGGTTATTGACATGAAGTTTAAAAGTAAGACAATCACCAAGCCAGATACCTAGGTATCTATAACTGGTAACCACTTCAAGTACTTGTCCTTGCATAGTAACAATATCCAAAACAGGCTCTGGTGTCTTTTTAGCTTTTGAAAATAGCATTAACTTGGTTTTATCAACATTTAAAATAAGCTTAAGTTCAGCAAGCTGAGTCTGAATAATGTTAAAAACAGCCTGTAATTTAACACCAGCCTCCTTAATGGAGGGACCTGCACAGTACATCACGGTATCATCAGCATACAAATGTAAAGTAGCTTCATTCACATTTTCACCTAAACTGTTGATATATATGGAGAATAAAAGTGGACCTAAAACAGAACCTTGAGGAACACCATTAGCAATGTTTAACCACTCAGAAGACAGCCCATCAAAGTGAACACATTGGGACCTTTCAGAGAGGTAGTTCACAAACCAACCCACTGCATGGCTGGATATGCCGATACTGAGTAGCCTCTGCTTTAAGATGCGATGATCGACGGTATCAAACGCTTTGGAAAGGTAATGAGTGAGTGCTGTTAGAACCAAGGCCTTAATTGACTGTAAATTCAAATCACAGCGCTTTTATGTGATTATAAGACCAACATAAAGGCCATTCATTTTGGTTTTTATATTTCTGTTGTCAATTATTGTCTTTTATTGTGATTGTAGTAATGTGTTTTTATTACATGTACAGCACTTTGGCTCGACCAAAAATCGCTTTGAAATGTGCTATACAAATAAAACTTGATTTGATTCCCCTTCAAAAACAGCACAACACAATTAACAATAGATTTACTGTGAGACTTCTCTATATAAGGACCTCATTTAGGATCAATTTGAATCCCAAAACAGCACTTAAGAAATGCTTTCTACAAACCCTCTGTCAACCACTATTTCTAAATGCTCTTAATGTTTTTCATTCATGTAAAGCACTTTGAATCGCCTTGTGTTGAAAGGTGCTGTATAAATAAAGTTGCCTTGGCTTATCGTCGCTGAGCCACATTTAATTAAATACAGACAAATAATGATTGTGTTGCTGTAAGGGAATATTTGCAGCGTGACTTTAGAGCTCGACTCACTCCTCATTAAATTCCCACAATGCAGAATTAACTACTGTATAGATAAACGTCTTACTTTATACTTTATGTGCAGAGATTCGTAAAGTAGAATTAGTACATAGCGACTAATGGGTAAAGCTATGAGTGGAATACCAATTGGATATTTAACAATATAAGAAATGTGTTTATTTGCATAAGATCTACACCTACCTACTTTAAAACATGACAGCAGTCGGCATGGAAAAAATGGATCAACCTAACAAGCACTTCCTTTAAAAGACACATCCAGGCTATTTATAAGATACCTGAATATAAATAAAATGACCTGCCCCTGCACTGTATAGTAGCACTTCTCGTACCCTCCACTGTAGAGGGGGCTTGTCGACAGATTTTCTCATTCACCGCTCCACTTCCTGCCCTTCATGCTGTCACAGAGGCAGACAGAGTTTAGGGCTTAGTGCCTCTTCACACTTCACCTCGTCATCCTAAAGTAACAGAGAGGTGGACAGGCAAAACTGATTACACTCTCCAGCCATGGGAGGTGAGGCAGGCAGGGGGTGAGATGCCTGGATGAAGGGGGGTGAGATGCCTGGATGAAGGGGGGTGAGATGCCTAGATGAAGGGGGGTGAGATGCCTAGATGAAGGGGGGTTAGATGCCTAGATGAAGGGGGTGAGATGCCTAGATGAAGGGGGGTGAGATGCCTAGATGAAGGGGGGTTAGATGCCTAGATGAAGGGGGTGAGATGCCTGGATGAAGGGGGGTGAGATGCCTGGATGAAGGGGGGGGTTAGATGCCTGGATGAAAGGGGGTGAGATGCCTGGATGAAGGGGGGTGAGATGCCTGGATGAAGGGGGGTGAGATGCCTAGATGAAGGGGGGTTAGATGCCTAGATGAAGGGGGTGAGATGCCTGGATGAAGGGGGGTGAGATGCCTGGATGAAGGGGGGGGGTTAGATGCCTGGATGAAAGGGGGTGAGATGCCTGGATGAAGGGGGGTGAGATGCCTGGATGAAGGGGGGTGAGATGCCTGGATGAAGGGGGTGAGATGCCTGGATGAAGGGGGGAGTGTGTACTGATTAATCATCCATCTTCTCTGTCCCTCTCAAAGCCATTTACCTGTGCAAGAGGACCATGCAGAACAAGACCAGGCTGGAGCTGGCAGATTATGAGGCGGTGAGTGCTGGATATTCCATCTGTACACAGATCAATACTTCTTAATATATCTTTGTATTGATACTTATTAGTATTGATATCTGCGTCAAGCTTTTGGGGCAGAAAAAAGCTCATAAGGGTCACATTTGTGTGTGTTTTCAAATTGTTAGAGATTCAAAAGCTTTTTGCACAAAAGCTAAAGTAGTTAGGCTATGCAAATCCCCAGCTTCTCCTACAGTGTGAGATATTAGACATACAAATAAATAAAAGTATTGCAATAAGAAATGGTGATTAACTTGTGTAAGAGACCGATGCAAGTGACACAATGCATCTGAGAAAATTGCTAAACTGTGCAATGTTTTAAGACTTGATTTTATTTATTTGTATTTATTTTTTCGTAGAGATTTTGACCTCAACATCTCACTGTTTCTCTTTCTCTCCAACAGGAGAACCTCGCCAGGCTACAGCGAGCCTTTGCCAGGAAGTGGGAGTTTATCTACATGCAGGCTGAGGCCCAGGTCAAGTAAGTGCAATCTGTTACCAAGGCAACTTATGAAAATACAATGCATTCAGCGATTGTCATCCACACCTAAGAAAGAAAATACAAAGTAATATAAACAACACAGTAAAATCAAAAGTGTGACACCTCCATATCATGAGCAGTGAGTGTTTCTGACTGACTCCATTAAGCCTCGTGTAATAAATGACCTGTCCTGTGTTATCAGGGCACAGCAGGTCTACTGCTTCATGTTTCTGAGGTAAACAAAGATGATACATTTTATTGACCAGTGATGATAGGCAGCATGCTTATCGAACACATTCAAAATGAGAAAATGAAGACAGAGGGTCCTTCTCAGGTCGATTATTTTAATTTCCTCGCTCCTCGGTCGGTCTCACTGGAAGTTGATTTGTCTGCGCCATCTTGAGTACCGTCCCATGGCGCTTATTTCTGCCGGAGGACCGAGGAGCGAGGAGCGATAATCGAGGAACCACCAGTCCATCCTCCGATGAAATCCACAGATACTCGCCCCGCCCCCTTTCTGTGTATCGCTCACTGATTGGACGATGCAGTGCATGCACTGATCTGATGCTTCTTGACATGAGAGCAGTTTCCCAGCGGAGTGAAGAAAATACATGAACCTCACGAGAGTCACTCCTCAGTTTATACTGTGTTTTGTTTCAATTAATGTATCATTTAGTTACAAATATGTGATATATCTGAACAACAAAGTGGTCAAGAAATGTTTTATTCATTTATTGGAAACATTTTCATGATCGCTTTTTTCGTTTATACATTTTAAGAATAGCGTTTATCTTTTTTGAGAATGAGTTCTTATTTTATTTAATGTATTTGGGTCTACAACAGATGATACAAATGTTTGTGTCAGTAAATGTGTACTAAGAGAGGCGGGGGTGTTTGTGAAAATAACGAGGACAGAGCTGGCTGCTGTCAGACGATCAGCTGTGCGGCGTCATCACAAATGGACGTCGCTTCACGTGATGCTCCGGAGGAAAGGACGTCCCATTGCTCTTAAAACTCATTTCCATGCTTCTCGTGGTTTCCTTGCGTCCCTCCATGCTTCCCTTGTGGGAGGGACTAGTCGCAGGGAAACGACGCAAGTGAGGGAAGCAAGGATTCCATTTAATCGACCTGAGAAGGACCCAGAGAAGGGATCAAGAAGACAAGATGGCTACCTCTGATTTATTTAGGCAAATAAACAGTGGAGAATAATTTTGGTCCTACCTTTAAATGCAGACAAAAAACACAAGACCTCTGCAGAGTCTTCACACTCAAAATATGACATGATGAGTATGTCAATCCTTTTAGGTGTTTAGATTGTTTCATGAGTTACAATTTCGTCAGGTTGTCATGAATATTCAGATACTTTACTTGCGTAAAAAGAAACACTAGCTCAAGTAAAAGTCTTTAAGTCCATTTACTATTGGTTACTTTGTAGTAGCAAATGTAATGGTTTCTTCTGTAGTAATGCCATCCTATCAACATGTGTGCAGCCTCCTGTACATTAGTACATGTAGTGGACAAATGTTAATTGAACAGTACGTAACCATCAGCATTGCACAAAGGAATACCGTCCATGCTTTAAGATTTGTCTACAGAGCCTACCAAATTTTGGAGGTGCAGCAGTATGAACACATAAGTAGCAGTACAAACAAACACACACACGCACGCACACACTCAGAAACTGGTGCAGAGGCGCATGCCAAAAGCTTTGAGCACATGAGCTTGAATATTGTTAAAAAGTGATGAACGTATAGACTTATAATAATCTCCAGACTGTCTCTTTCCCCTTCTCATCCTTCCATCCTGATTCAATTGCTACATGTAATGTTGATGCATGCTGTATTTCTCACTCTGACTGATCTCATGTGCAGGATCGACAGGAAAAAGGATAAAACCGAGAGGAAGATCCTGGACAGCCAGGAGAGAGCCTTCTGGGACGTCCACAGACCGGTGGTGAGCCTGTCTGTGCACAGTTTACACGCCTACCTCACCTTCCTCATATTTAATACACAAACTGCCTCTTCTCTATTCTACAGCTCTTTTTGGGGTTACTTGGAATCAAAATGACTCTGTGACTGTAATGTTTTTTTGCTCATGTTTCCTTCAGCCTGGATGTGTGAACACGACAGAGATGGACATCAGGAAATGTAGACGCATGAAGAACCCCCATAGAGTTAAGAAGGTATAACCTCCATTGACAACGGTGTTAAAGTGACATTGTCCTTAAAATACTCAAAATTAAGTGTCTTGCCGAGGGACACAACGACATGCTGACTGCAGTGGGGTTTGAACCTGTGCCCCCCCCTGATCCGAACACCAACGCACTAGACCACTACGCCACACGCCTCCCTGTTTACAAATGACTTGATCATATCAGCACTGTTCCTTAAGAGATGACTAATGCAGCAATCATATTTAATAACTGAAATGTATCCCTTGTGTTTGTGCCTTAAGACAATAATAAGTACACGATAAGTACTCTTTTATTCCTCCCACTTCTCCTCTCTCCTCATGTTCAAACTCTCAGTCGGTGTATGGTTTGGTGGAGGAGGGAACACAGTCGCAGAGCCCCATACTCACTCCCTCACACCACTGCAGGAAGGGCACCAAAGAGGACGTAGAGAAAGAGGTAAAAATGTGTCCATGACGTATTTGCGAGAAACTCATGTAAAGAAAAACTTTAGTTGCTATATCATTTTTACTCCCCCATCATTTAATTTTAAGCATTCCATAGAAAATTGACAGTCTCTCCACTGCATTTTGCACTCTGCTATGTACGTTTGGCAGGAACTGCTACTTTCTCGCACAAAGAGAGATTGATTTTCACCACAACAAAACAAGACAAGCACAAATGCACAGATGCAGCTGGCTCATGGGAAAATAGGTCTTAATAATAAGAAACAGTAGCACTTACATTTCCACCGAAGCTGCCAACCAACTCAAACATGGTCTTTCTCTCTTATTGTAGCAATAGAGTTATACTTGTCCTCCACTGTTATTTTAGAAAATTGAAGACGTTTACTTTCCGGTTTGTTTGCTGTTCTCGTACAAAATCAGCAAACACTGCCATCTGTCGTGTCCTCTTTCAGATCTTATTCCTGAACACCCAGATTGATCGTCACCGTATGAAGATGTCTAAAGTGGCTGAAAGGTAAACTAAACTCTCACACAAACACTGAACAAGTATGTCTTACCTTGTGAAGGAGACACCATCCTTTTTCATTCAGAGGCTCTCTCTCTATAATCAGACACATTGATGCTGACCTCCCTTTTATTAAATCTGTAGAGCAGTGGTGTATAGAGGAGACTTGTTGTGAGACCTCATCTGTACCTCTGCTGGTTTATCAGTCATGGACACATAAGACGAGCTTTACTTCTACAGCGTTTGTGCCGTTGATGTTTGTGTAAGGGTCTGACTAGGGTGGCTTGCAGGGTTTAGTAGGTTCTGCTTTCTCTCCATGGATGTCCTTAGGCGCTTTCACACCGCAGTACCTTTCCCACAAAGGTTCATCAGAACTTAGTTCATGAGAACTCTTTAGTTCTCATGAACTAAGTACCAATCGCGTTCACACCGGAATAAGTTCCTGGGGGAGGATTAGGATTAGGCAAATGAAGCCGCTGACGTCACTTCGTCTTCTTCTGCTTTGGGTTTACTGGCAGGCCTCAAACAACTTCACGGCGTATACTGCCACCCGAAGTAGAAGTAGAAGTAGAAGCTGCTGGGACTCCCAGCAGCTTCATTTCCCCCATTCTGCAATCTGGAATAGGGGTCAAAGATCAAGGCACAGGCCAGCATCCATGTCACTCCCATCTATGCCACAGCCAATGCAACAGAAAGGAAAAATAAAGGATGCTATATCTGATCTTTTCATTTGTAATTGAAATTGTGAGGAGGAGATATTAGAAGTGACGATAAAAACAGAAATGCTCTGTGGGAACTGCGAGATTCTTCTTTTGGCTGCAGTCCTAAAATGCACCTTCATAAAAATAAGGGGAAAAGCCATTGCCGTAATATTTTTATGATACAGTGTTAAACAAGAAGCATTTCATCATATTGCTGCACTAGAACTGAAAACTGCACTTGGATATTTGAACGTACTTGAAACAAGTAGATTTGTTTAAATAAATATCACATTGTACAGGTAGATTGATAAAATATGAAAGGGGTTTAAGGGTTGCCACAGCCTTAAAGCACAAATTGTAGGCTTCACAAATCTTACATTCATTATGGGCTTATTGTTTTAATTGTGTTAAGCTGTGGAGGCCTTCTTGTTATTGTGTCCACATTGTCCGGCAAAAACACATTTGCCTGCTCGTAAAGGTCTTTCAAAGGCTGAAGACTTTTCTTTTTGCCGCTGCTTTTAATTGAACAATTTACATCTTAAACTGCACTGTAAACTTTTATTCATGTATTTGATCTTTTAATGTTTATTTTATTATCTTTGCTTTTTAATGACTGTATTTAAATGCCATTTTATTAATATCTTTTATTTTGTAAAGCACTTTGAATTACCTCAAGGTTCAAGGCTTTTATTGGTCATACGAACATAGCTGTAGTTATGACGATGAAAATCTTAGGTCACAGGCTCCACCAACAGTGCAACACAATAACACAGAAAAATAGTGCAAGTCAATACAAAAAGAAACATAGTGAAATAGTGCAATAAGAGTCTGTATACAAGTGATTGGAATATGATATATTAGATAATAATGTCTAAGTAGCAGCCAGATGAATGTTATGGATGTTGTTTCAAAGTTCAGGTGTCTAATAGTCTTATGGGGATGAAACTGTCCCTGAGTCTGGTGGTTTTAGTCCGGATGCTTGTGTTGAAAGGTGCTATTTAAATACACTTGCCTTTCTAGCCCCCCCTCATGTCTGGCAGACTCTCCTCTGTTTGCTTCCCTGTCGTTCCCATCGTCTGCTCAGTCGGTCGGTGAGCCGTAGCTTCCAGCGGAGCAGAAACTGTGATTACTGCTCCGCCTCTCTGACCCTTTGACCTCCTGACTCCTCTCCAGAGTTGAATTTGTGCTCAACAGAGCAGATAGTCTGCTGCGTTTCCCCAATAACTGCAAGAAACAACAAGTCACACAACATCAGTCGTGTTGGGCGATTAAACTACTAGCATCATCGTTTCTTAAAAAAAAAATTAGGAATCATTTCTGAAGTATGATCACTCTTTGGGTGAGTGGGCACATGCTACTCATGTTGGTTGAACTGTTTCCTGTTGATTGACCTAAGGTTGAAATTAGAAAACATATGATGTGAACAGATGCTGCATGGAGAAAACATATGTTTAACATGCGAGTGTACAGCGGTTTGTTGAAGCGTGGTTTCCTTTACTTTAGTTCAATTTGTCTCAAAAGTACGACGAATAAAAGTCTTGGATGAAACTAAAGACACAATTATTGAAGTCCACGCACAAATTCATTAGAACAATTTACGAGTGCAAAAATCCTGATTTGATGAAAAGGGTTTTATGATAACATGCAGTCTTTGTAGCTAATCTGTTAGACATGATCAAACCTGATGGATGCACACTAGGCAGGCTCTCACAGGACGATGCTTCACTTCCAGTTGAATAGATTTGACTTTTCTTTTCATTTGGAGTGTATTCCTCTGGATGCAAACTACTGAAGTGCAAAGCTTTAAAGGTAAGGAGAACATATCGTTTTACTTTAGTTCAACTAAACACATGCACAATTCTGAGAGTGCATGAACACTAAACAGAGTGCGGGTTTGAATGGATTCTGTTCAGGTTGTCGCTGTGCTTGGTCCTGATTCTTGGCTCGTGTGGTTGCATACTTTACTATGCATTGATCTGAGACCAGTGTTTGTCATTACATCTACACCCTGGTCTCGATTGTCTGACATCCTCCATTTGATTTAGTTATGTTTGCAAACTACAGGTCTGAGTAAGAGCCGTCAAAGTGTATTCTTTGAAGAATGCTAGAGTGACTAACATACCATAGGAAAGAAATCACAATCTGTTATAGCAGATTATTAAATTACGGTTTAGACTGTGATCATTAAAACATTTTCAGAGCCCTGCTGTTGTTGATGCCTTTTCTTCTTCGCTGCGTCTCTCGGTTTGTATTTATCTCAGACTATCAAAGAGAGGCAGGAGGTTCACATCTCAGCTTTTGATCAGAACAGATGCTCCTGCTTCACGATTTGTTTCTGCATAATTTACTCAATTATCTCCTGAAAGCCTTCAGGTAAACAGGAAATATTCATCTCATTGAACAAATGGCCATGGCAAACTTTCTCTCTTAACTTGATGATTCATCTGCCCTGTCCTCTGTCTCTGCGTTGTGTGTGTGTGTGTGTGTGTGTGTGTGTGTGTGTGTGTGTGTGTGTGTGTGTGTGTGTGTGTGTGTGTGTGTGTGTGTGTGTGTGTGTGTGTGTGTGTGTGTGTGTGTGTGTGTGTGTGTGTGTCAGTCTGATAAGCTACACCGACCAGTACATGGACTACGACCAGTTTGTGACGGCTCAGGAACCGGCTAATCCCTGGAACAGCGACGACCCCTCCCTCTGGGAACTGGAGGCCAGGTACAAAACCACACGTTTTCACTTTCACATCCAATGGACACTTCCTCCTAAATGATAGAAGACATATTGTTCTCATTATTAGGGTATTCATGTTCAAAAAGCTCTTTATTGTTCTCATACTGTCTGTGCTGCAGCACCTCTTTTCACCCTCTGTTTGAAACCAGAGCCCAGTCTGCTCTGATTGGTTAGCTGGCCGACTCTGTTGTTATTGGTCAGCCGCTTAAAGATGTCCCGCCCCTTAGCCTATCACGTAAAATGGGTTTGAGTGCTGGCCAATATAAGCGTGTGAGTTACATAGTAGATGTTATTATGTCTATTACGTTTTTACGTGGGGTAAAATCTGACCTTTTTAAATTGAAAATTACTGATCCTGAAATGTTTACTGCGGAGTTGTTTTGTTGAAAGTACTGTAGTTTCATTTTGTTTTGTATTTTCTGTAGAGAGGAGCTGCAGCTCTCAACACTTGCACTCAGCTCTGCACTCCCGGCCTGTTCTGAATTAGGCAGGAATTAATTAGAGCAGACGTATAATAATTGTGCCTAATGTAGTTTAATAATTCAGACGGATAGATTAATTGCATGATAGGAGGAAATATATTCCCTGCAGAGATTAAAACAGATTGATTTCAGATGAACGTTGGCATAATGCGCTGCTTTCCCGACACCAATCTCATATCATCATCAGCACTTAGATGACTGATAGCAAATCAGGTTTTTAAGATGTATTCCTGCCTCTGTTTTCACGTCAGCACCACTTAGCATTTATTCACAATTCCCTTGTAATTTCTAATCTCTATTCTATTGTGGCCTTCCTGTTCAAGCATCAGGTGGATGTTTATACTCTCTTGTATCTCCCCTCTCTCCCAGTAAGGAGCCCAGTCAGCAGCGGGTGAAGAAGTGGGGGTTCTCTCTGGAGGAGGCGCTGAAGGACCCGGCGGGACAGGAGCTCTTCCTCAAGTTCCTGGAGTCAGAGTTTAGCTCAGAAAACCTGCGGTGAGCAACGGAGATGCTTCAATAATCCTCTTTAATCCTTTTTATGTTATGGTTATCTTTTCCATTTCATGAGAACTTTTACAATTCCTATATGAACACATCTTGCGGTGCGCAGCGGTTGTCAACTTTCTATTTAGGGTTGTTGTGGAGAAAGGGAAAGAAAGGGATAGTTTATTCTGCTTTAGGAAAAAAACAACAAGTACAGTATAGCATCGTTTTATTGTCCTTGTTTACTTGTAAGAAGAGAATAACAGCATACAGCAGCTTTTACTGCTCTGAAAACGTTCCCTTTGACATTGTTTGGTTCCACACTATCATTTCAACCCACTGGCACACAGTAAACATGGGAAGAAACACATCACAAGAGAAAGATATTCCGGTTCCCAGAACAAAATATATGGTATGTACCTTGAACACAATGAGGAAAAACAGACTCTGAGAGACAGACAAGAGTAGGAAAAATGAACCTTGTTGCATTTGAAAGTACAAATACATTTAAAGTTTTTCTCAGCAAGATTTCACAAAGTTGTTGCGTACAGATATTACATTTACACCTCATTTAGATATACAGTATCTACTTTTGTGTTTCGGCTTAAATTCCGCTGTGTGTGTTTGTGATGCGTGCGTGAGTGTGAGCTAGAATTAGCACCTCTAAAAGCCAGAGAGAGAGGGAGAAAGGGAGAGGAAGAGACCTCAGACTCTTCTGGGGATAAACTGTGAGAGATAACGTGAAGGTTGTTGATACCCCTGAGCTACAGGGGGAGAAAACACACACACACACCACAGCCTTTTGGAGAGCATTACTGAGGGAGAGTGATAAGGGGCGAGAAGTGGAGTGAGAGAGAAAAGCAGCTGCTTCTCTCTCTCACTCCAGAGTGTTTCTCTCTGTATTATTATGTTATCTCTGGAGCAATCAACAGATCAATATAGATACAAACTCATGCTGAAGGCACTTGAGTGGCTCTCTGCTGCCCAACACGGTGTATTACCTGCTTCCCTCTCTTATACTGGGGAAAAGCCTCAGTGAATTATTCAAAATAAATGCCTTCAAATGTTAAATGTGGCTATTTGAAGTCCCTCTTTACAGGTTTCTCACCTAATCTCTGTGAAGATTTAATTAGTCATAGTTACAAATATTATATTACAAGTGTGCCAATATATACAACCTACAAACTGGTCCTTCAAGTAAAGCTTGTTTTCTTAACGAAGACAAGTCAAATGATCTCATTAACGTTTCAAAGTGGTCAAATTATTTGTAAAAGAACCTTATCTCTTGCCTGCAGATCAGGTTGGTTTGGACCCTCTTTAAGCTGTATAATATCTGAAGTGAATGTGCTCTGTACTGCAGGTTCTGGCTGGCGGTGCAGGACATGAAGAGGCGGCCGCAGCAGGACGTGGCTCAGCGGGCGGAGGACATCTGGGCCGAGTTCCTGGCGGAAGGAGCACCCAGCTCCATCAACCTGGACTCACACAGCTACGAGCGCACCAGCCAGAACCTGAAGGACCCCGGGCGGTACAGCTACGAGGACGCACAGGTGGGAAAACACAACGTACTGCCGTGCTTTTGGGCTAACAGAATGAATCCCGTATGTTTAAAATGTATTGTATTAAAAACAAGCAGAGGTGGGAAGTAGTGGAGTACAAATACTTTGTTACCGTACTTAAGTACATTTTTCTGGTATCAGTACTTTACTCCACTACTTATTTGTCTGACGACTTTTTACTTTTACTTCTTACATTTTCCAAACAGGTTCGTCCCTTTAGTTTGAATGTGTGTTTGGTGGCGTGATCATTATTATTTAGAGTCATTGCGTGCCTATTGATTTGAAAACGATCCGTGTATCCATCATTTCCTGGTCTTCTCTAAAGAAGAGGGACCAATGACAACGTTGTCATGTTGCCGTTGTTAAGCATGGAAACATTCATTAGCTAACAATGACATTATTGTTCTATTAATATAAAGGGAGGTCAGGTACTCTTTAAAACAGCTGCTAGTTATGGGTACTTTTTTACATTTCAAAGCCCATACTTCTTTACTTTTACTTGAGTTAAGAAGTTTAGTCAGTACTTCTAGTATAGTATTTTTAAACACGAGTATCAGATTCTGTACTTCTACTTGAGTAACGGATGTGTGTACTTTTGCCATCTCTGAAAACAAGATTAGAAAATGATTCATAAAGCAGGGAAACATTGTCATTATAGGCCTCTGTGGTAGTAAACAAACTATAATATTACCCTATAGGGACTTTTCTTTAAAATCCACAGTTGAAATGAAACAGTTCATTATAAAATTGAGAGATAATTGGTCCAGATCCATTTAAAACCTCATTAACTCGCTCGCCCACTCACAAAAATAACATTATACACAAGTATCATTTATAAATTGCATTCAGAAGAGAGAGCAAGAGAATAATCCATGTGTTTAAAATGCCACTCTCTCTCTCTCAGCTTAAAGGTTAAACTGTCTTGCTCAAGTGAAATTCAATAAAACATACAAATAAAACACCCACTGCCTTTTAATATGCAGAAAACATCACAACACAAATGTCCACTGGTGGATCGATAGATTTTAACTCTACATATAAAGCCTACAGAATGGTTATAGTAGCCTACAAGTAGTACAACATACTAATTTATTTATCCCTTCTATTGTCTTTGTTTCCCCCCTTACTTAAAGGTGGGGTAGGTAATTTTGGAGAAACCAGCTCGAGTCATGGATGTATAATAAGAACTGGATACAGCGTGGGAGGCGGGGCCTCATTCATTCCTATGAGAGCTGCTCATTAGCGCATGATGATAAAATGGCCCAACTTTTGAGAGAGTGAAACGTCACAGATTACCCAGCATGCCTGAGAAGTACCCGTATTCATAAGTACCCGTACTCATAGAGCATGCTCAACTTTAACCAAAATGCTCGTTCACATCAAGCACGTCAATTTGCGTACACGTAACAGCACCGTGCGTTCATGACAGCATGGTAATGGTTTGTTGTTATCATGGATTTGATATGAACGAGGCGGCAGTTAGCAGCTAGCTAGTAATGATGCTAATGTACACATCAATCGTTATGTACTTATATTACGCTGTAACAGGATCTAGTGATATCCAACAGAGCTTCATTTAGCATGAAATTATTATTGCACTGTATATATATATATTTATATACAGTGCAATAAGCTTCTTAGTGCAATACGAAGCTACAGGGACGTTAATAATGTCGGTAATATTAACTTTATTTAATACAACATTTACGGTACAAGATTTAATCATACAGCCCATGTATGATAATGAATTACAGCAAACATGTGCAATATATCCATTATTACAGCTCCGTGGGCAGTAAGACGATATGGGTCCGTTCTTATTGTGCATCCATGGGTAAAGATAAACGCAACTCACATTGGTTTCTCATACATACAGCATCTCTGTAAACTACGTGTATTCACTGAATTTCACTCTCTGCCTTTAACGGCTCGTTGTAGCTCCAATAGCTCCAGCCCCACCCTCCCTGGGAGCACAGTGTGCTCTGATTGGTCGGGACACGTAACATGAACGTGCCGGGCGGCGCGGTCCCGTGGGTTAGATGCGCGTTCATAATGCAGAGGGAAATAACTCTCAGAATAACGTTATTAGCTAATTTTTACAACTTGAGGAACGAATGTTTTTAATAAGGGCTATACAAGTGTTCATACTGGGTAGTTTATTTAGTTTTTAAAAAATTATCCAACGAGTTACAGACCACTCTTTCCCCATGTAAGTCAATGGGAAAAAGTGTTTCCGGGCCTGGCAACCAAACGAAAGTGTAGTACCGCCGTTTGGCCAGCACGAATATTTTCATCTGAGTCCGGCGCACTTCCTGGGGGCTTGGCTCGAGTGCGCTAGAATTTGAAAATACACAACCGGAAGAAAATTGTCACTTCCTTACAGAGCCCCTCCTCCAACACACACGAACGCGCACATGACCAATGAGGGCACGAGATAAGTTTGTGCCCCGATGGAAGGCTGACAGGCAGGTAGGCCATCCAGTTACTTTAGCCGGGCCGGCTCAGATGATTGGTCGTGCTTTTTACAGCGCCACGGCTTCCACTGATGAATTTTTGTTATGGATTTTTTGTCAAAGCACTTCAGATATCCATTGCTATCGGGATGTTAAGAGCATTCCATGGAATATAACAAAAAGTGTATCTCGAGCCGGTTTCTCAAACTTACCTACCCCACCTTTAATTTGACCGGTCCTGTTTTAACTGCTATTACATTAACACAAAAACCATGAATCATCACCAAATTTCATTTTCAGACTACATGAAACTGCAGTAAATATACAAAGAATAGACACTGAACATGTATTGCGTGTGCCAGGTTTGATGCATGTGGGGGGAGGGGCACATAAGAGCGGGAAATGTATCAAATTGTTCTGTGTGTTTGTGTGTGCCAGGTGTGATTCACATGGGGGGGATGGGCACATAAGGGGGGGAACCTCTAGTGTGTTTGTGTGTGTGTGTGTGTGTGTGTGTGTGTGTGTGTGTGTGTGTGTTTTATCTGATCCGGATGATTACTAATTCCTTTCCTTTATGGCGGTCATTTTTGACCAGGAACACCATGGGTGTTACAAAGTTGACTAAATCATCCAAAATTCAATGAAAGTGGTGATCAGCAATTGTATATGTTCAAATGTCTACTGTGAAGGATATCATAAAGCCTGAATGCAATCGAATGTAAAACAAAAAAGTTATGATTGATGAAAGTAGTAAATCGGTCAGATTTGACATGAAGACAACAGGAGGGTTTTTAAATCAATACTGCAGACTGCACTGTGACTTTTATTATAGTATTTTATTCCTGTATACTATTTCCCCTTACTTTAATTTGTATTATCTATAGATAATTTATAGATAGATAGATAAATATATACTTTATTTATTCCAAATTGGGAAATGATTTATTTCTAGCAGCAGTGACAAGGTTACACATGTTTGAAAGATACAAGAAGATCAAATCTAAAGCACTTATCATTGAATTAAATGTACCATTCCCTTTCAGTGCAACAGTGTTTCTCGCCACATAAAACAATGAAATAAGCATCCAGTCCTATTGAAGCTGATCTATAACATGGAGTGTACAGTAATCACAAAGCTCAGTTCCCCCACCTTCTCTCTCTCTGCAGGGAACTAAGTTTAGCACCGTTCAGAACGGCTATATCACACTTTTAATTTAAATCTCTCCAGGTGATCAGTGTCAGGCGTGCCTCTTCAGAAACTCGATCCCACTCTGCTGTCTGTCCCATTTGTATGTAATGTATAGCATGTAACCCACGTGTCTCTTTCTCTTCCTGCCTCTTCTCTTTCCATTTAGGACCACATCTACAAACTGATGAAAAGTGACAGCTACACACGCTTCCTGCGCTCCAACGTGTACCAGGACCTGCTGATGGCAAAGAAGAAAGTAAGCATGTCTGTCTGTTTGTCCCACAGGTCAATCACTGATATACTCCATGTACTGATATACTCCACTACACGGCAGGAAGTGAGGTCATATACCAGGTCGCTTTGTAAAGAGGCAGGAATGAGAGGTCTTTTTTTACGTTATTTATTGACTTGGTTTGTCCCTACATGAACGTTGCTCAAAATACTAACCCATGTTTTTACAGGCAGACGAGAATACACAAAATGGAGAAACGGTCCTATCTTAATCTGTAATAATGTGAACAAATCTGCTCAAGTGTGTGAGATGCATACGCTATTTAAACACTGAATTTGAACTGTTCCTCTTGTGATTTTTCTCTTGGACTCTCAGCCTGAAACGGAGCAGGGCCGACGCACCTCTCTGGAGAAGTTCACTCGCAGTGTGGTGAGTGTCCCTCTGCTTATAACTCTTCGACTGCATTCATTCAATGACAAGGAGTTGTTTTTTTCAAAAGTCAGCAGATTGACATATTATAGCATTTCTGTTTTTTGCTATACCATGACTTACTATTGACCTTTTCATGATATTTTGTAACAAACTGTACTATGACGTTTTACACAATTTTCGACTATGACCTTTTTAAGACAATTTTAAGACATGCTACACCATGACTAATTGACCTAACCATTTCAGACAAACTGACATTTATCATGATTTTTTGTAGTATTCTATGAGTTTCTTTCAAATGTCTCAACATGCTATACTGATGTTTTTCTACATACTATACAATGACTTTTTCATTATATCTTTTAACATGACGTTTCTCAAAATGTTCGTTATATTATATTTTTTCAACATCCTATAATATTACTTTTTCAATGTACTTTATTTTGTCTATATACTGTGACTTTTTCAGATTTTCCACATACTACAATGCCTTTTTTAATTCTTTAACTTTTTCATGACTGCTCCACCGAGGCATTTTCTTGTGGTATCATTACTTAACATCATATGTTGTCCACTTACCACCCAGCACCAAAGCTTTGATACGTCTCTGCAGTCTTTCTCTTCTTTAACTTTTCCTCCCACACTGCTCCTTGGTTAAGCTCTTAAGGTGACAGCTGTCCCCCTCCCTCTCTCTGCCTCCCATCAGGGCAAGTCGCTGACGGGCAAACGGCTGACGGGTCTCATGCAGTCGTCCTGACCAGGCTTGGATGAAGAGTAGGAGGAACCGTAGCTGCTTGGCCCTGAGGAGCAGCTGGAAAAAGACCCTGGGGTGTTGGGTGTGGCTTTGGGAGGCGGATGATGGCGCCAAAACGAGCCCAGACTGCCACCATGTTTGAAACTCACCTCAGATCTGTTGAAGAGGACTGACAGCATGCAATAAGTCACCAGACCTGACACCAGGACAGTGCTGTCACAGTGTAGAGGAAAAAACAATCTTCTTTTCTTCTTTCTACTCAAAAGCCTGCACCACGCCAGGCTTTGTTGTCACTTTGTTTTTCTGTACTATCTACACACATGTTGCTGGAGAGGCTTTACTTTCAGTGATATACACATGGAATGCAAATGAGACTTAGATTAATGCTGTAGCTAGCTGTTTTATCTCACGTCATTCCCTAGGATGATATAAGGGAAAGAGAGTGAGGAAGTATACATATCCGCACTCTCGAGCTGAACTTCTGCTCATTCCACACATTGATGTTCAAACAGGTGGAGTAGGACACCTGCTTTTTAGCAAATGAGCTTTTTGATCATGTGGGATGGCACAAGTTTGAAAACCTGTGCTTGTACAAGAGTGGTTTAGTCGGTTACAATGTGTGTTTACATGTCCTTCAAACTAATGCCTGTTTTCATGCTCATTACAGACAAAAACTACAGAACTTTATATTATTTCCTGTGAACACCTAGGTTGTTCCGGAAAGCAGGTAACAGGAAATTATAATTTTTTTCGTTTCACACCTATGACACACACAACATATTCTATATCTATTTCTTAGGTTATTCAGCATATCTACAACAATTCTACTTTCATATGTTATCACTGCCACTGTCATTTTTAACGAGAATGTCTTCATTGTACAAACCACGCTGAACAAACAGAGGTGTGATCTTGTTTTCATCACAAGGTAAGAGCAGGTTGATCATATTACAAAAACAAAGTGTGTTAAATGAGCGCGCTGATATAATGTTAGGCTTTAATCTTCTGAACATTCCACTTTAGGCGGCCACAAGGTTTATAGTGGACTGACCTCCAACCATCCTCACATAATGTAAAGAGGACCATGATAATAAACGAGGAATGCACAAGGAAGCTGGTCTGTTATTTCATGTGTTTCCATTTCATTCCTCCAGGAGCCTCAAAGGAGCAAATAGTCGACTTTTGAACTGTGATCTATCTGACAGGTACTTCTCTCTTCTTGTAGTCATATAGCGCCCTCTGGTGCATCACAGAAGTAATTACAGGAACATTTATTTTAGTGTTACAGATATATGCAGGAATACTGAAACTAAATTGAATACTTTTTGAACCCTTTCCCTTAAATTATGAATGATGATCAAAATAATGTATTAAAAGGTTATACTATACTATGACACCTTTCAGACATACTATATTATATTATTTCCAAATGTTCGACCCACATAATTATATATTTTTTCGAGTTTTTAAGACTTTTTCAGTACACTATAACTTAGTATGACGGTTTTTTGAATTACTATATATCTATTTTCACATACTATAATATTTTTCGACATACTATTTCATGATTTTTTAGACTTACTTAAAAAAACATTATAAATGGACATATTGTACGATAAAATCAGCTTTACACTTTTTTTAAGGCCCTGTGGAGATATTTTCTGAAATCTTCCGAAGAATGGCAAGCTATTACTTTTTAATAAATAGCAATTAGGTAGGAGAAACACCACTGACATTCTTATAGCAGTAGTTGGTCTGAAGTTTTTGCTAATGTAAGATATTGGGAATGTTAATTGTCTTACACCTCATTACGCAGCAGTGGTTGATCTAGTCAGAGCCTTTTAAGGTGTCTCTCTCATAGTAGCTGTGAAGTAGCACCACCTGGTGGAGCTTCAGTAAAAAGCAGCAACAGGTTTGTTTTTCAAGCATCTCTTGAATCGTAATCTTTATCAAATCAGTCTTAAAATCACTTAACTTTAAAGACTACTGTCATCTTACTTTTAATCCTGCAAACTTCCCCTACTAGTCATATTCTGCAGTTTTAAAGAAGGACAGGACAATATGTTTGATGCTATTAAGGTTATATTTCAGAAACAGCTGCTGAAGTATTATTCAGCCACACCATGCAGAAAATCCACCGCCATTAGTGTCCTACAAAAACCTTGTACCTCCAAATGGGTACCTCAACATTTCAAGATCCAGCTTGTTTGACAATTCTCCATTATAGTTATTAAAGCCATTGATTAAGTATGGAATGTCAAAGGTATTTAAAGATATCTGAAAAGCAAGTTGACAAGAAGTCCAACTTTGTCTATATAAGTGATAAGGTAATGACTTTACAATGTGGATTGAAAACATTTACAAATTCTCAGCGAACAAGGTTTATGAAGGACACACTTTTTTCATCCTTTCCAGAAAAGTCTATGATATAAGGGTACATATATATATATATTATATACTTTAACTAAAACAAATCTAATATTAAATACAAATAGCTTGAATACTGTGAGCACAGGTCTTAATATCTTTCTCTAAGTATACAGTTAATTAAAACACTGAGACCTCAATGTGTAGCCATGATAATATTTATTGTCCAGAGTCTTACACTGAAAAGTAAGGGTTAACGTTTGAGGGTGCTAAAACGTTGTTAAAAGTCTGTTACCTTCTTCCAAACGGCACCAGGTAACTTGCAAAGAGGGCTTTACACACTGAAATAAAAACATTGTGAAGTGCAGGTTTAAAGGCAAGTTCTAATTTCTCTGATTGTACATCCTTTATTATTTCATTGCCTACTTTTCTTGTGTCTTACTAGAGCACAGGAAGCAAGGAAGAGACATGAGGAGATAGGAGTCGAGGCAACCAAAAAATAAGACATCTATGCTTTGGAGCAATAATTTGAGTCAATTAAATGTAACTGTAATCTGTCCATTGTCACGCCACTTTCTATGTCAACGATTATGAAAGAATATCCATACTCTGCTCGAGACATCCTTCCTTCAAAAGTTCACTGAGATACATTTCTGGGTCAAAGGCAGGGCGATAGAGGAGACAAAACAAAGAAATGAGAAGAGCGGCAACATTTGAACATGTGTAGCCCCTTGTAGAAGTGCTCTGTTGAGTGGACAACAAAGGGGAAGCTCTTAGGTAGCAGTTATGCAGCTGCAGCGGGACAGGAGAGAGGCTGCACTCCTTTAATCTCCAGAGCCTTGTTGAACTGCACCTCCATGGTCTTAGAAGCCTTCGTGATCTTCAGGTTCCTCATACAACCTCTGAAGGACGTGCTGGTGGAGAGAGCCGCCTGCCGAACTCCACCTGAGAGAGAAAGAAAAACAGGACCTCTCACATATTTGTTTTTAAAGGTCCCTTGTTATACTGGTTTTCATCAGTATATTATAGGTCTCAGAATACAAAACATGTCTCTGAAGTGTTTGGCTCCAAACACCAAACACATCATTGCAGCATTACCCATAATCCCCTCTGTTTCTGATTCTGTGTCTGGTACTTTAGATGAAAATAAGGAGCCCCTCCCCACGCCCCTCTGAGAGATATTTGGTTAAAAAGAACACAATGGTGCTCTAGGAGGAGATTCAGGTGATAAGGTCGGGGGGGGTTACCTTGGTTGGTGATTGGCTAATGGTTACACAAGACAAAACATCGTTATGACATCATAAAGTGGCCAAAATCTGATCAGCTCATTTTCAGACAGGTTTTTATAGAAATGGATCAGGACAAAAAGAGAGAGAATCTTTGTTCCTGAAACTTTCAGAATCTCTTTCCACAGAGGGGACACATGTTGATGTAGAAGAGACGTGACAAAGTGGATTTGACCTTTAAAGTTGCTCTTTGATCCACAAAATGTACTAATAGTAATGTGTTTTTAATGTATACTAAGGTATATACTGAGTATGCAAGTTAGAAAGCAGTCGTACCCGGATATCCTCCGACGTAGATGGGGTCGTTTGTGTCACACGTGTTGGAGCGAGCGTTGGGGCTCTCTGATTGGCTCTGCTTCTCGTCCACCACCAGCTCCACGCGGTGCCGCAGCTTCTTGGCAGTGACCGAGTGCCACTGGCCGTCGCAGAAGCCCTCGCCCTCAGGCACGTGCTCTGCTGTGATTCGTCCAGCTCCGTTGTCAACGTGGAAGAGCAGCTGGTGACAGGAAGGGGAAGAATGCTTGTTTTAAACGATATTTTTGAGATGTTATGCATATGTATCTAAGTACATGTTTTGTTCTGTGATACTTTAAACCAAGCTATTGCTAGGACAAGCTCAGTCGTTGCTTCTAAAGTAGATTAAAGGAATAATGCACCCTTCACACTTATTTGTTTTGTGACTAAGAGTGAGATGAGAGAATAATACTTCTTGTATTAGAAGTATAGAAGTATATTAGAAGGTTGGACAGGATAGCCGTTTCCAGTTCTTTTGATCTATTATTTAACAGTCGCACATACAGTATGGCTTTTTCTTCTCAATTTCTAGTGGAAATTGAATAACTATTTCCCCAAATGTTGGATTCCTTTCGTCAAAGTTACGTACCTTGCCCTCGACAATCTCTAGTCCCAGTCCATCGTTGGCTTGGTTACTGATGCCCAAAAGCACGCCATTGGTTCTGCTGGTCCTGAACTCTAAGGCTATCGACACATCCAGACCCACTCTGTAGGAAGAGACTAGAGAGAAGGAAGGATGCATTAATTTTCACCTTTCATAACAAGAACATTACATTTGACCTGAGAAAAAGTAGAACAGATGTTTGCTGAGGAACAAGTTTGCAAGCGATGTCTCAGTGTCTCCTCTCACCTGCTTTCAGGAAGCCAGTGCCTTCAAAGTAGGTGCCCGTCTCCGTAGCGACAAAGCATCTTCCCACCATGTGACTGGAGAAGGGCGTGGCCATGTCCAATTTAAAGTCCTCAATGACAGCCTCAGCGCGGCCTAGCAGAGAGACAAAGTAAACAGTAATCGATTAGAAAAAACAAATATTAAAACGAATGAAACTAATGACCATGTCAACCTGGATAATCAAAATTGTAAATACAAATGCCTCACTTGTAGAACCTGGCTTAGCGCTTACAGCACCTCCAACCATCTTCATGTTACGAATACATCCATTGATACTGTAGAGAATCTAGGAACAGAAAAAAAACGGTTCTTAGTCAATTATTTCAAGGGGAAGTGAATTATTTGAACAAAAACTAGCTGAGTTTAGGTTATACATAGAAATATGGCATTCCTGGGCAACATGAAAATAGGTTTTACCGGTCCTATTCTCTTGCTTGTGTAGTTTGTCGGAAATCCACCAACATACAGGAGTCCCACCACGTCCAACAGGTCAGCCTGGTGAGGGAAAGACAAGTTGTTATTGCCACAATAAAGTAGTCCTTTAAAACGTGATCAACATATGCATGGCTATAAGATCTGAGGTTTAAAACGAGGGTTATTTTCTTCTTCCTTGTCTGCCATGTGCTTATTTGTATGTGATAGTACAGTATATGGGACAAATGTACCTTCTTTGGACTGATCATCTGTTTGCTGTATCGCCCATCAACCATGAGAAGACCTCTCTGCTTCACACGGCTCACACGGATCTAAAGGAAAAAATAACAAATAAAAAACGGGTCAGTAAGACATGAGGAAAAAGGGAATAAGGAGCATTTAAACCAAAATATAAGTACATTCTCTTGACAGTGTCAACAGAGACTATCTGCTGTCTATGATAGAGGGAAATGCTGCCATCTTGTGATTTAATATTCAATACGTTTGAGACTTGTGTAAAGTGAATCTGAAGGACTTAATGTTCTGGATGGCAAAAAATGTGACTAAGAAAATGGTGAAACTATGAATATAACGACAGTATCTTAATATCTAGTTAAACTCTAAAAGTCGATTGTAGACCAGAATTGGTCTAACAAGTAACATGTAAATTGCCATCAAACAATTACTAACATCAGTGCTTAACACTTTTGTTATCCTAAAAATTACACTGAAGCTAAGCAGAGTATTGTCCTAAAATATAGTATATATTAAGAATCTTAAATGTTGTCCTGCAGCAAAATGAGGTAACAAGTATGAATTAACTTACCTTGTGCCAGTTCCCATCGTTGATGGAGAAGGGGACGCAGCCAGAGATGTTTCCATGACCGAGATCATAACCCAGACACACCTGTCCGTCTTTGATCTGCAGGAGGAGAGAGACAGAGGGTCATGATACAATGAGATGTCTAATGTGACCGTCTATGGACTTTGTCATGAATATAAGGACCTTGGTGATGGCAGAGAGGAATCCTGTGAATAAAGATGGGGGAATAAACGACTCAAATACTCACCTGTGTCTGCTTTTGGATAAATGTGTGTGTGTTTTACAGCTTTATGTCACAACAGTGTGTAAGAGCTTTTTCTTGTGTTGTAAACAGAGCTGAGCCTTATATAAATGAGTGAGACTGTGCTTTAAGAAACAAAGAAGCAACCTGTGTTTTCCTAAAGCATTAAACATTGGGACAAATGGGAGGGAAAATAAAGCAGTAAGTGGATACCTGGATGGTGACAAAGTCAGCATGGTTGATTCTTGCCATGTAGAGAACGAGACCAGACTCCTCCTTCGTCCTCAGCTCAAACTCCAATATTAACCTGAGACACACACATATGATAAAGAAATGATTTAACACAGTCTGTACATACAGTATGAAAAACACCAGAGGGCCCAGTAAAACACACAGGCACAATATGTCTATGTGATGTTTTGCATTTTGATCAGGATACTGGATTATCACATCGTTGCAACAAAAAACCAAAACAAATGATTTCCTCCGAGGGTAATAAAACATTTTCCAACCAATGGATGCAATTAGTTCTTGTCGCTGTTGATTTAAATGGCTGGAATTGCTTCTCACAAAAATGATATTATTCATTTAAAGCGGAACAAGTAAAATGTCCTAACCAAATTAAATTAATAAGGCATAGCATGGAATAATAAGTAAACAAAAAGAAAGAAAAATTGCAGTTTTAAGTGAGTAAGACAGCTATTTGATCCTATTTTCTAGAACTGACATTTTGATATGAAAAGCAAGCTATCTGAATGTAGAAAAATGCCCAGTTAATGAATGCTCCAAAGTAACATTATGTAAAAATAATTGAAAAATGTCATAGTATAATATGTTGAAAAATAAGTTCTATAGCATTTAGAAAATAATCAAAACCAATTCATAGTATATCGATACATAATTTAGACATGAGATAGTATGTGAAATTAACATTAAAAAAGTCATATCGAAAATAATTATACTGTATGTTAAAACGTATGTCGAATATGTCATGAAAAAAGTCAAGGTATTAATTAAGTCATTGTATAGTATGTGGATAAATACTTTAAAAAAATCATACTATAGTACTTTGAAATCAAATAAAAAAAGGTCATTGTATAGTATATTGAATAAAGTATGTAGGAATTATAGGCATAGTACAGCATGTTGAGGAAACAATTGTATATAACAGTCATAGACTTCAGCGAGTGAGATGTTTTGACTTCTAGCCAGCCACATCATTTAACATTGAAAAGTTATTATATTGTTATATTGTAAGATATAAATCCCTCCCCGGTTGACACAAAGCCGACCCACATAAAAAAATAAATCAAAATGTTAGCCCCCGTGTTTCATACCTCTCTCTGACTTTGGTGTCTTCAAAGGCAAAGCTCATGTGGCTGTTCTTGGTCAGTCCGAACTGATAGGCCTTCTCCAGAGCGGCCGGGGCCACAGCTGACGCACACGAGTCCTGCAGATTGGAAACAACACGCCAGGTACAATGAGAAGGTTTCAGAGCACGGCTCCACTGCCTCCTGTCAACAGGAACCTGAGCACCTGAGCAGAACGAGCCAATCACAACGATAGGGTTTCTGCGTCTGATCTGCAGGGACTTAACGGACTTATAGGTCACTAGCAATAGTTTATTATATGAAAACAGATAAATGAAGAATATACAATAGATGTTTAAGTGTGCCTTGGATGTGCAATGAAAAAGATTACCATACCAAGCATTAAAGCATTTTAAAAGGAATTAAATTGCCATCATTCATCTTTCATCACGGTTTGTCTATTGCCTCTTCATCTCCAATCAGATACTGCCAAGGTGGATTTGGCTGACACTGTTTTCAAATCAATGGACCCTCCCAGTTTGATCATCATAAATCCAGCCCATCTATCCTTTTAATCTTCAAACACCACAGTCGGATTTTAATTTGACCCTTGCTTCAGTTTGGCAGCGGGGTAACCAAGGCATTAGATCGTTTAACCCTTAGCATTTCCAGGGTGCAGTAATGCCGGGGACCAGAAGATGTCAGTGTTGTAAAAGTAAAGGCGTTTAAGTTATGACATTTTCTTTTTACTCCCTTTCTACTACATTTTTCTTCCACTTGCGTTTTTTAAAATTCATCCTCCTTCATTTATCTTTTTCCCCTTGTCCAAGTCTTCCTTCTGTTCTCCCATCTGCTCCTACTTCCTCTACACTCCTTTTCTCTCACTTTTCCCTTCTCCAGTCCTCTTCACCACACCTCTTATTATTTATTTATTCTTGACTCTAAAATCATGTCTCCTCTCCCTCTCTGTCCTCTAGATTTCAGACTCCTTCCCTCTATGCTGACTGATCCTTTTCTTTTCACTTGAAGGCTTGTTTCCAATGGTTGTTATTTATTCTACCCACCACTATCTCCTCTTTAATTCTCCTGCAATGATCGCTCTTCATCTTCCTCACATTACCTACGTCCCTGTCTGCTCTTCTCCTCCCATATTTACCCCCACCTTCCTCTCTTGCTGCTTCCTGCGTCTACTTTCCCTCTAGTATCTTCCCAACTACTGATCTTGTAGACTCCCGTCCTATGTTGTCCTCTAACTCCATTCCTGTTCCTGTTCTCTCCTTCATTTCCTGACCCTTCACCTCTTCTCCTCTCATCTCCTTTCCTCTCTCCTTTCCTCTCTTAAGGTCTGATCTCCTCTACCTTCACCTGTTTTTCAGCCATCTATGTCTTATCCATCACCGACCTCTGCCTCCAGTGGAAGACCTTCACTTTTTAATGTCCTCCTTTCTCCATCTCCTTTCACTTCTAACTCCACTTTTTGTCGTTACCTGTCCTCAATTAATCGCCCACATTTTACTTTGTGCCTCCTTTCCTCCAATCTGTACTTCCTTACTCATTTCTGGGCCTTTTTCCCGCTGTCTTATTATATTTCTTAATAAGTACCAAAGCTTTTTGCTATAGCTCCAGTGTCAGTGTGAGACAAAGTTAGAGAGAGAGGGACAGTGTGTGTGTGTGTGTGTGTGTGTGTGTGTGTGTGTGTGTGTGTGTGTGTGTGTGTGTGTGTGAGTGTGTTAATCTGCACTCCTCTCTTGTTCCCTTTCAAGTGAAGACATTCTCCACACCGTGACCTTGCTTTGTTACAGCTGACACTCACCTCTTATCGTGCTCTGTCCTCATACCCGCCTCCTCCTCCTCCTCCTCCTCCTCCTCCTCCTCCTCCTCCTCCTCCTCCTCCTCCTCCTCCTCCTCCTCCTCCTCCTCCTCCTCCTCCTCCTCCTCCTCCTCCTCCTTCTCCTCCTCCTCCTCCTCCTCCTCCCTCTTTTTACTCTCTTTCTCGTTCTCCCCCTATCTAACAAAAGGGAGGTGTCACTGGCTCGGGAGCTCTTTCCTTCCCTCTCCTTTCATTCTTCTGCGGCTTCCTCTCCTCCGTCTTTCCATTAAGCCAACAAAAGGCTCGCCCGCTCTGCTCAGAAAGACTCTCCCTCTTTCTTTCCTCCTCTTCCTCAATGGCTCACATCACCTTTTCTCTGTGCTCACGTCCATCCCCTCTCTTCTCTCCCTTTCTCTCATCCCCTCCGCGTCTTTCCATTAAGCGAACAATAGGAAGGCCGTCTTCCATTTACAGCGGCTGGTCTCTGGTTGGAGGTCACACCAATAGAATCTGAAGTAATTTAATCGGGATTACGTATAAATGTGTGTGTCGTAGACACCACTCTGGAGAGATCAGAAGTCTGTGCTCTGCTTATTATAGTTTTCACAGAAGCTACCCTTTTGACCTCTGGTAGTAATTAGCTCTAGCTACAACTGTTGTACTGCTGAACTCATGACCAACTTAAAGACGGTGCAGTGCAATGGTCCTTCAGCATATGCTAATAGTCACTAAATGGCTTAATAGTGTTTCAAAGACAGGTGTTGAATTCAAACAAGAAAAGCTTGAGGCCACTAATGCTGTCGACGCAAAATCTGCACCAAGATCTTAAGGAGGCAGTTGAAAGTGAAAAGTACATCGCTGTGTAAACTAATCACCTGTAAAGCAATGCAAAAGTTGGAAAGAGAGTGGGTGGTGTGTAACATCTCCTAATCATGAGAGGATTAAATGAGAAGGCTCTTACTTTTCTCAATAACCAATGTCAAGGGCTCTTGGGCAAAGCACTTAACCCCGAGCTGCTGGAGCAGAGCTGGTCAGGGCAACCAGCACAGAGCTGCTCAGGGCACATGTGAAGGAGGTAGATAAATAAAGCTTTTCTCAACAGACTTTCTCTTGGTGAAAAAGGAGTAAATGGGTGAAAAATGCACCTTGCATGGAAGACAATACAAATGTATCTCCTGGGCTTTATGAATCTTTACCAGAAAGCTCTGAGTAAGAATGAGACTATACCTGATTTTAGATTGAAAAGACAACAAGGTAAATGGAGGAAGCAAATGAAAAAGGGCTAAGGCTACAATGGTTGATGTTGTGTGTATGTGTGTGTGTATGTGTGTGTGTGTGTGTGTGTGTATATATTAAAGGACAAATCCTGGGCTGTTCCATACTTTTCTTACTGTCAAAGAAACCTATGGAAAATCTAACACTACAATGTATTGATCATGTATTGCTTCTGTAACCAAAGTGTGATAAGCGCCTTCAGAGTTGATTTGAACATTGATTGATCACCATTTGTGTGTGTGTGTGTGTGTGTGTGTGTGTGTGTGTGTGTGTGTGTGTGTGTGTATGTATGTATACCAAGTCAGCACTGGGCTCCGTTTTGGCGGTGGGCGGGGCTGCAGCAGCAGTGGGCGTGGCAGCAGGAGGGGGCGTGGCCTCCTGAGGGTCAGCAGTCAGGTGGAAAGGAAGCGCATTAGTGGCAGCCATGGCGACAGAGTTTATGACAAGCACACACTCCTCCAATCAGATACAGATAAGCAATGGTGTCATAAACGTGGAAGCTCAAAGAGGTTATTGAAGATATGCAGAAAATGTGTGAGATTTTGTTACCTCGAAAAAGTCCGGTTGTGGAGCTGAGAGTGACCCATTTGACTTTTGAATGTGGGTTTTTAGTGTGACCGAGAGAAATTAGAGAGCTGTGATTTAAAATGCTAATTAGAGATTTCATGTTTTAAGAGGTTCACTGGAGCCTGTAAGGTCCTCCTAAAAGAGTCTCTTCAACCTCTAAATTGGTGCCTCAAGAATCACAAGTAGAGAGTTTGTTGTAAAAGAAAAGTGGGGGATAAAGAAGCCTCTCTTTGCGAGCACATGCTGAGAATGTTATTTACTGACAGTTGTGCTTTTTCCTTCAGGCTGACAATATATTTTGCTGTGGATGAAAAATGCATGTTTACTGTGTGCAGAGCTGCGTCTCTGATGCAGCAGCAAAACAATACCCATAGTAATTGTGTAAAACTCTGCTCTACACTGTCATTATAAAAAACGGTTTCATAATGATGTGTTTTAACTACCTGGCATGATCCATTAAAGCACCAACATGCTGACTACTCCCTGCTGAAGGTGGACACTATTTTAAATGACTGTCAAATTAGTGTATCTGTCTCTACAAATCTAATCATAAAAGAAAATCGATGTAGATGTTATTAAATAAAGGACTTCAAATTGGGTGATAATCAAGTAGTGTAGCTTGGTGTATGATCAGAGTAAGGCAGTGTCATATTTAAGAGAGAATAAGGAAAACAAATAGATCATCTTTACAAAAGGATACTTTACAATGGAGGCCAGCTTGTATTTGGTAAGCAAATAAAACATAATTACTCACTGAAATATGGTGAAAACGTACTTTCCACCTCAGTTTAACTATAAAGCTATATCTTCTCACAGCCTGTGGTCTACTCTATGTCATAAAACAGATGAACTTACAGCCCATAAAGCAACAGACCACAGAGTTATAGCGGAGCTGGCCAAGCTCTCTGGCTCTGTGCTTCATGATCAATGTCCTTTGAGAGGTGTAGTTTAGCAGCTAACTGATAAACTATGACTGCTTCAAGGCTTATCATACATTAAATATAAAAAAATATATCTCTTGTCTATCTCAATGCTAAGGGTATAAAATGAATGACTCACTGCCCACCAGCCTCTTAGCATAGTAGCTAAACGTTAGCGGAGAGTGTTTTGGCTCCTCTGGGCTCATAAAGCATACATGGCATGCACAGTTAGCGTAGCGTAGCGCCGTGGATCTGCACTGCATGACAGGCTGCCAGAGGTGGAGTTTAGTGGCTCAAGGCTAAAGGGACTATAAAGAAGAGTTAATGGTCTGTACAACTGCTATGTGATGAAGCGCTAAGCTAACAGGGCGAGGCCACGGCTGCATTTCATCAGAGATAATGGGTGTGCATTTGTGTGTGTGAGTAACAATCAAAGAAAATAAAATAATACATGTGTTGGAGTTATGTGCGCTTCTGAAAATGCATATTGGCTTATGTAGTTCCTTCACTGTAGCCTACTGTGTGTTTATGTGAATTATGTGCATCTACTGTAAATGTGCCAACAGCTTAGAATAGGCCAACTAAACAAAAATATTGCCCATTTAATTACTGCAAGTAAAACCCCTCCGGTGTAATATTAACATCCCTAACTTGCACATGACATTAAGTTTTAATACCTTAACACCATCTGTTAAAAAAATATTAATGATGAAAGTTATGCCCATGAGTGTTTAGTATTCTAAGTGCGTGTGTTCCCACATTAATTTTAACCACTTACAGCAGGAGGACCTGGGGCTGGTGTCGGGGTCAAAGGAGGACTGAGAGGCTTCGACACCTCCTTTTCCTCCTCGGGCTCCTCTTCCTCAGGCAGTGGAAGAGGAGCTGGCGGAGGGGCGATGTTGGGGCACTGTCCGATTTCAGCGTTCTCAAAGGACACAGGCAGGGAGAAATCTGAGAGACTGAGAGATGGACCGACAATTAGATTTAAAATGACTGGACGTTTAGCTGACACTGCAAGAACACCAAAATAAGATAGAAGTCCATCATGAAAATGAAAGGGACCTGTTAAGATGTGTTCAGATTGAGTGTTACAGTATCTTCATCAGTCACGTGTATTTTCACCTTGCTATAAGATCGTCTCTTTGACTGATGTTTGCCCATTTGAATGTGATGCATACAGTGGATTTGCTGAGTATATTTATCCGAAACAAATTTGTAAGATTAAATTGTCACGCGTTACTGATCATCACCACTGTCACGGAGAAGACGAATGGTTTCTAGCAGTGGAAATGTGTGCCATATATGGGGTGAAGCCTGCGAGCTAGTTCAGGCAGTCAACTCGAGCACCAATGACATATTAACACGTGACGCGTCTCTCTTACAACCAACCAAACACAATCTCCTTAACTTGCCGCTCTATTTAAGCTGCCAGGTCTGCCTGCCTCTGCCTCGCTAACGTGCTGCTCGCCTGCCCCACCCCAGCTTCCACCTGTAGGCTCGGGGGACAGTTACAGTATCTAATCATCACTCAATGTTCTTTGTAAATCTGTGGAGTGATGAGGCCCGAGCCTAGACGCCAAACTCAACTATATGCTGCTCTAATAAACATATTAAGAACACGTGAGTTGTCTGACTGAAATACTATATCTGCATCTGTTCATGTTTCCATCAACACAACACTGACACAAACCCAATGTTAAAATGCCCAACTTTACAGCAGAAATGGACTAAGCCTGGTTCAAACATCTTAATACCTCAAAGTTATGCTTCTGCTCTGCCAGCGTCAGGCAGTGTTATTGCTGCCAACATTGAGCTAACAACAGCTCTTTAGAACATCCATAATTCATATATTCTAGGTTTGTAATCAATCACAAAGCCTCTGAAATGTGTTTTGTGTGTAGTCTGAACACATCTTAACAAGATTAAGGGTCATGGCCACAGTACAGTGACTGACATGGTTGCTATTACCATGGAAGGATTATGTATACGCAATAGAAAAAGGAAGTATAGTAATAAGAGTTCTTTCAGATTCACTATAAGAATATAAGCTTAAAAGGACATTTAATAGAAATGAATGTAGTCCATCATTAGGGAGAGTGCTTAAAGTAAAACTCCAGAAAATAAATTGATTGATGAAGACTCACTGACAGATTGACAGATGTATGAAGATGAAGAAGTTATAATGTCAGGGTGATAGGGGTGAAGAGAGGTGAGCAATAGACAAACAGACACAAACATAAACACACAGAGATGAGAGTGTAATTTGAGTTATGAGTATGTTTATGATGTTGGACAGCTCTATTACTGCAGAAAGAGGCACTGGCTTTATCATTATCATCACAGCCTCATTCATGACCTCCTGCAATCATATTAAGTACGTTTTTACCCAGTAGAGGATGAGGTCAAAACAAGGCCTGTCGTCCACTGCCAGAAAACGTTATTGGATAAACATCAATGATGGAAAAATGCACGGTTTGAAGCAAGAGTATTAATACATGCATTTAAGGTGAACAGCTAAAGTTTAGTGAAGTGAGTTTAATTGGTGAGTTTTGCCTGTGTCAGTGTTTTAATGTGGTGAAATGCAAGGGCAGAGAAATATCCAACATCAAAAGCTGACTCTGTTCTTTGGCCCCATATTGATCTGGTGATGCCAGAGCCATATCACTTTGTGTCAAATTAAATGAATTGTTTCAGATAGTTCAAAGGAATCTGAAATGTAGTTCAGAGGGAAAAACAAACTGCTCACAGATCTTTGCAAAAACACTTAAGAAAGGTGAGTCACTAGTATCTATGGTTGGATGTGGTTGGATCATCTATGGCAGGGGTGTCAAACTCAAGGCACGGGGGCCAAATCCGGCCCGCGACTTCATTTTATGTGGCCCCACAAAAGCTTGCAAAGAATATAATATGTTTGTTATACGGTTACATGGCGATTTACAGAAGCGCGTTGCCCATACGTGGAGCACAATGCATCTCAAATTAGACTTTTTTCTCAGAATTTGCCTTTTTTTCTTCTAAATATGCATTTTTTCTCAGATTAGACTTTTTTTTCAAAATGTTACTTTTTTTTCAAAATGTCACTTTTTATTTTTATTTTGCTTTTCTTTTAAAAATCATTTTGTGACATTCTCACTGAAGAGACTTGCAATTATTTCCCCTAGACTCCTTTCAGACGGAGTTAATTATGAAGTTATTACCCTATCCGATAACAATCCAATGCAGAGGCAATAATGTAATATATAATACATTATTTTATATATATTAAATATTTATATATGTATTTTTATATAGTCTTGAAGTTACAACCGGCCCTTTAAGTGCAACCATAATGCGAATGTGGCCCGAGATGAATATGAGTTCGACACCCCTGATCTATGGTGTAAAGACATGAGGAAGTAAATATAAATGGTTAACAGGAACACATTTTTTACCTAATCACAGTGTTTCAACACATGGTAGTACAACCTCATTGCTAATAAAAAGGTTAGAAAACTGTCAAAAGAACATTAATTTCACGGGAAGACTAGGGGTAGAGGAATGTGAGAATTTGGTTAGGGGTATAGGGGAACAAACTACCTGCAGGTCCACTGCAACTCTGACTACTTTTAAATCCAGGCTGAAGACTTTCTTTTTTCCGCTACTTTTAATTAAACTATTCACATCTTACACTGTAACTTTTATTCATGTACCTATATTATTCATGTTTATTATCTTTGCCTTTTAATGTTTCTTAATGTCTTTCATTTTTGTAAAGCACTTTGAATTGCCTTGTGTTGAAAAGTGCTATATCAGGGTCTATGCAGGAATCCTGAAGTCAAATTGAATCCCTTTTAAGACCTTTTTAAAGACCCTTTCCATACATTTTAAGACCTCATCGCCACTTTGAGTTTTAACCGGTTACCTTGGCGACACACTTTACCTCACATTGACTATATGCAGTATTGATTGTCCTTCCTCCTTATCTTCCAACCATTTGGACGCAAACTTGCATTTCCCCATAACGATGTTGTTTAACAACCGGCGTAAACGGACCTTTGCGCGCTATCAAGCAGTGAGCGTGAGATGTCCTGTTCAGATGACGTCAAATCCAACGGGATGCCATCAATAAACTACACAGAATCACACTACACACCTACGCAATGATTACATTCAGGCAGACTGTAGAATACAACCTCTTTGGACAATTGATATACTTATTGAAAACAAGCTACAAAATGTGATACCTTGGAAAATGCCCTTTAATACTTTTTAATAGCCTTCATTTCCGCTAAATTGATTTATCAACTTTTAATACTTTTTAAGACCCCGCGGACTCCATGTATACAAATAAACTTGCCTTGCTAAGAGTTACAATCTTTTAGGAAAAGCTTCTCTAGTTCGTTCTATTCGTTCTAATACAAGCATTTACATGCCCCTAAAACATATTGAACATTTTAATTAATACAATTAAATCTAATAAGGGAAACATGAAAAGTGCATGGCTCCAATCTGCTCTACGAAATGTCAGCTTTAACAAAAAGGCAGTTTTATCTGTGCTTCGATAAAAATACACCTGATTTCAGATATAGAGAAGATAGAGATAGGAGATAGAAGTTACGTACACAGCGTTGACCATGAGGTTCCATATGCATCCCTGGAATGGGATGTTGGCTCTGTTGGACGTCTGCTCTACTTCTGCAGGAATACCACCGAGGAAGACGCGCTTCAGGCTCACAGGCTGGTCGTTGGGGAGCGCTGCCTCCCTCTTGGCCTCCTCGTCCACCTGAACTGCAAAAGATCTGATGGGACGCAACGACAGAAAAACATTACATTTATTTTGCAGAGTAAAAGTCTTCAACAGGGACAAAACACATACACAAACTCTGACCTGCCAGGCTGCCTCTCTATACGCAGCGAGTGCTCTCTCCCATCATTCAGTGCGCCTTGCTCGGCTCGTCTGATGACACGACGCGGACTGTGGCTGCCGGTAAACATCAACACCTCCAGAGAGCCTTTGTTCAGCATGACTGAGAGGTAGGGCTGCCGGGGAGGGAGATTAAGTTTATCAGCTGTGGAAATCTGAACACACATACAACTCCCAGGACTCATAACTGGAGACAGGTGATTTAATGGGGAAGGTTGATGAAGGGAGTTGATTTGTAATAGATAACTTGAGTAAATGCCAATTCATCCAAACATTAGTTAACCTGTTAAGCCCTGAGCCTGTTTTTCAGGTTTCAGGCTCTCAAAGCAAGGTTACATCTGTGAGTTGGGTGTAGAAGTGTCAGAATCAATATAGATGTTTTTATTTTAAAGTAAATTCAGATGGAACATAGTAAAAACATGTCAATTCTAATCTCCGCCTAAAAGAAACACATTACTTATAGTGAAAACCACCCTTGAATGATGGGATAGTAGACTAAAAGCTTTAGGAATCCAAACTATAACATATCATAAGTACCCTGTATCAAGATTGATGCAAAACAATGAAAAGGTTAGAGCAGAGGAGATATTAGATTGTATATATATAATATTATATACTCGGCAAACAATTTGATGTTGAGCAACATTTGATATTTCCACCTGTACTGAAAGCACTTTGTAAGTGTGGGTGTATTTGTTTTAAATATAACCTTTATACCAAGACAACCTTGTAGAGATAAAAAGTATTTGAAGGAGTCTCCTGGCCAAGGTACTGTAGGCAGTAAACACAGTGTCTTACTTGCTAGAAACATAAAAATGATAACATGACATGTCTAGCAAGGTCAGGAGTAAACAAAAATGCAATTATGAAATCATGAATAAAACTGCCAACAAGAAACAGATAAAGTTCCCCAGCAGTCTTTAATGTGTCTGGACAAATCTAGTAAGTGGACCTTGATAAGATTTCATAGTCAAACTTAAAAGATGTATATAAATTAGACCAATTTAATACAATAAAGGAATATGTCTGGACCCAAAGTCAGGTGTTGAATGAATATGGACCTAAATATTAAAAGTGAATCTGTTCCGTTTTTTCTGACTATGATCACACTATATTTCTTTTGTGCCGGAATTTGATCAAACCTTTCCACCTCTTGCAGAGCGCAGTACTCACAATGTTTGTTTTAGAGGAGAAGAGAGAACAATAGGGATAAGGACAAGGGGGAGGGGGGGGGAATATAAGAATTGAAGGGAGGGAATAAAGAGCAGAAAAAAAGTCAAAAGGTGAAAGGGGAGATGAGTGGGGAGAGGTGTGGGGCTATATTGAGTGAAATTGGGGGGAAATGAGAGCGGTAGGAGAGGAGTGGAGAGGAAAGGATAACAAGAGATGAGAGGAACAGAGAGGAGAGGATAATAGGGGGAAGAGATGAGAGGGCAGAGAGCAAAACAGCGCTGGAGAGAGGGAGACAGACAGAGAGGTGCTGGAGAGCAGCGGAGCAGGGTCAGGCTAATTTGAATTTTAATTCACTGTGTGCCAGAGGGCGAAGTGGGAGACAATTTACCACCTGAAAATGGAATTTCAATTTGAGGTCGGGGACAAATTGAACTGAGATGTAGCTACAACATGCCTCTCGCCGCGCACACGCACACATTTATACAGATACAAAAGGCACACTCACACACACAGACACACACACAGACACACGTCACACATACAATTCACAGATAGACTCACACATGAATATATATAACGGATTGACACATAATCAGGAAGCCATATATGCAACAGAGTGTAGCTAACACATACACTGTATGCAAAGACCTAATACAGTCACAAGAAACACACTCACACAGAAAGCAGACACACACATCCCTGCTACCTTTAGTATTTGATTATTTGTATTGATATGCATTTGTTTGAGCTTTGTGTTTTGTATGCCAAGTTCTGTGTAAGCTTGTAGGCAGCAGGATACAAACGTTGTCTGAGATCAGCAAATGATGCAGGGTTTTTCTTGTTTGTTCAATATTTATGAACCAATCAAAGATTTTATTGTAAAACTGTTTTGTAACGATACACCTTAGAGCCAACATCATGTTTTATGTATACTTTTGTGTTTTTCAATTTGCAGTCAGAGCCAGAGGCTTTGTTAGGAGTTAGCAGACTGCAAATAGTCATAATTTATTTTTGTGGTAGCTTTATTTTCTGGTCATCATTAAATGAATCACATATCACTAAAAGACAGGACGGCACTCGTGCTCAAGTTGATCCTAAGGTCTGGTTACCAAACATAAATACTAAATTGGAAAAATTGTTACTCAAATTGTAACCTTTTTATAGTTATTGTTGGAGCCAATTTTCTTTGGGTTGTGCACGGGGTTTGTCTAGGTGTGTGTGAACCAGTCATCATCCAATCTGCGCACCTGGGAGCACGGGAGGTAATTAGCCCATATATGTGGGCACAGGTGATCAGCTGGGATGAGAGGTGAGAGAGGAAGCCACACGTTTTTCAACCGTGTGGACCGTGATTGTTTGTGTCTGAGCGTGTGCGTGATCGTTATGTTTTAAACAAGATTTTAGATACGTGAGTCGTAAAATAACTTTTTAACCGTGGACAAATGAATAAAAGCATTACAAATTACATCATGGTGGACGTCATCCTTTTTGATGAGCGATCGCCGCTACAGTTATAAATAAGCTTTAGAACAAACCTACTTCATTCCTTCTGCCTAGAGAAAGAAAAACAGGGTGTTTTTTTGTATAATGAGAAATTCTGGAGGTGTGAGTACCTCTCAACATCCAACATGGCGTCTTTCCACTTTATTTCAGTCCTCTCTCTTTCTCATTGTGTCCCTTTCTCTCTCCTTCTATTTACCACCTTCTTTTTGCTCCATGCTTCCTTCTCATTTTCTTTTCCTCTCTTCTCTGTGACCATGTTCTCTTTCTGTCTAAAATCAACTCTCTCCGTCTTTTCAGTTTTGTCCTCTCCTTTTCCCACGTATCATTTATTTTCTTTGCAGCTCTACTCTTTCTCCCCTCTCCTTCATTTCACCTCTAAATCTCCCTCCTCTATCCTTCCATCCTTTGTCTCCGGTCCCCTTCTCTCTCCCCTGTCTCTGTGTCCCTCTCTAAAACATCCATTAGTCAGGGCCAAGTTGAGTTGATGGTGTTTTTAACCTCGCTTAACCTTTCTACACACACACACACACACACACACACACACACACACACACACACACACACACACACACACACACACACACACACACACACACACACACACACACACACACACACACACACACACACACACACACACACACACACACACACACACACACACACACACACACACACACACACACACACACACACACACACGCCCCACCTGCCAAAATAGTTAGTAAAAATAGATTTATGCGCCCAACAACCAGTGATGATGGATAAGCTAGAGGTAACCCTCTGTCCTTTCCCTCACACACACATCCATGTACACTCATAAACCCCTACATACACTTCCAGTTCTGCATTCATGTGAGCAACACCCTCCCCGATGAGATACACACACACACGCATTACGCTATTACACGCACGCACACATAAAAACATTGAAACAGGCACCCACACATACATGTATACACACACACACACACACACACACACACACACATACACACACGCACACACACATGAAATCATGTGCAAACAAAAATACTTATGCACCAAATACATGGTGTTTCCAGTAGAGATAAAAGAATAGATTTGTTTATCCATCAGTGATTAGGATGAAAGAGGGCTGTATCAGTTAAGGGACTTCGAGTGTGTGTGTGTGTGTGTATGTGTGTGTGTGTGTGTGTGTGTGTGTGTGTGTGTGTGTGTGTGTGTGTGTGTGTGTGTGTGTGTGTGTGTGTGTGTGTGTGTGTGTGTGCATTGAGTGAAAGTGTTTTTAGCCCTAAGACAATCTAATCAGCATAGTTGCCAACAAACTCAAATCTCATTAATATGCACTCATGCACTTAAAGAAGAAATGTGTGTGTGTGTGTGTTTGTGTGTGTGTCTGTGTGTCTGCGCTTGCGTGGTCAGCAAAAGCTGAGATAGCTACTGTATGTATATGTCAATGGAAGTTTGTGAGTGTGTTTTGGATAAAAGACAATCCAATCAGCCCAGTTGCCAAAACAGTCAAATCTCATTAATATGCACTTATGGAAACACCATCCACTTAGGGAGAGGGGTGCATTATTTGGGTGTGTGTGAGTGTGTGTGACCCACCTCTCCAGACTGTCTGCGTCTCCTCTTGGTGCTGAGGAGGTTTGAGTTGCGGGCCTGTGGTGGATCAATTATCAGAAAAAAAGATGAATTAACTATTTGTTTAACAAGTCCCTAAGATAAATAATAACAGTACACAACAGAGTCAGTCGGAATTAACAAAATCATTTGTTTACAGTACACAATTACACTTGTATAAAGAAACTATCATTCAATAAAGAATTTATACTGATTGTATTTAATTTATTAAAATTATGATGATTTTCATTTAAAAGAAATCTAATTGTGGCCCAAATAATTACAACAAAATCACAAAGTTGGTTCCAAAAACTTCCTAAAATTAGAAGGATAAAATGGACTAGTAACAAATTAAAATAAAGTGCTGTGATAATGAGAGTGAGTCACAGCTTGTAATTAATTAAAAAGGTGGGATCCCGACCTGCTTGATGACAGGTGAAGCCCCGCCCACAGCCAGCAGGATGGTCCCAGTGTCGGCCAGAGTGCTGAACGACAGGCTGATCTCCGTGCCGACCACCAGCGACAGGCCGCCCAGCTCCATGTAGCCCGGCTTAGAGAAGCTGACCGTGTACAGGTTCTACGAGACAGAGATTAAAGGTCCCCTGTTATACTGTTTTTCATCAATATATTATAGGTCTCAGATATATACAGAACATGTCTCTGAAGTGTTTGGCTCCAAATGCCAAACACATCATTGCAGCATTACCCATAATCCACTCTGTTTCAGCCCTGTTTCCAAAGTGCTGATTCTCAGTCTGTTACTTTAGATGAGATGCCCCTCTGAGAGAGATTTGGTTACAAAGAACACAATGGTGCTCTAGGAGGAGATTCAGGTGATAAGGTGGGGGGGGGCGGGGGTTACCTTGGTTGGTGATTGGCTAATGGTGACACAAGCCAAAAAAATCGTTATGACATCATAAAGTGGCCAAAATCTGGTCAGCTCATTTTCAGACTGGTTTTTATATAAATGGATCAGGACAAAAAGAGAGAGAATCTTTTTTCCTGAAACTTTCAGAATCTCTTCACGCAGAGGGGACGCATGTTGATGTAGAAAAGACACGATAAAGTGGGTTTTGCATAATAGGTGATAGTTTTAGTATTAGTAGATACATTGATTAGACCTAAACTTTACAGAGGATACAGAAGAAAAAGTAAAATGGTGTTTGAAAAGAAGTGAAGAAAGGTCAACCAAGTCAAGGCTTTACTCTTGAACCTTTAGACTCACGCTGCTTCACAAATCAAATACACCTTACTGCACTTCCTCTTTACTTTGACTGTGGTTTCAAATTGGAAATACTAACACAGAGACACCCACACAATCAGAAACTCTCATCCTTGTAGCGCAGCAGAGCCATTGGTGAGGGAAATAAAAAGACAGATAAGAGAAATAAAAAGACCTTCACTCTACATACACTCAACCCTGGGCCTTTATCACCCATGGCTGCATGTTTGTACAAATGAATGGCACTAGTGTTTAGAAATCCTTGTGAATTCCTTGTAAGCTTTTATATCTGCAATGTGGAGTCAGTGGTAGTGTTCATGAAGTGCATTGAGGTTCGAAGGATGTGCGTTCTTGTTAGGATTGTATAGATTCTAGATAGTTTGTTTGTTTACACGGAATAAACAAAACAAAAAATGTACTGAAATGGTTTCGTGCTTAGGCCATTTGTTTACTGTGTAGCAAAAACAACAACTTGTATCTCTACGATTTACAAAAATATACTAACTTTATACAGTATGTATACAAAGTGTGAACCACAGGTCAAACATATCATGGGCATAAAGACGTATATTTATGTTGCACATTTATTATCCATGGACGTGTTCACTCACCTTCTATATAAGGACATTATGAGGGGTTTACACACGCATGATAAATCACTAAAACAGCAGTATGCAACATTATAAGTAGACAATCTTAATACTATAATACAGAAAGGTTTTAGCAGATCTGTGCTATGCAAATCCACTCTGCAGATGGTTCATTTTACATATGTGACATACTCTACCAACTCCGTTCAAATATCAACTTTGAGAAACATTAACCTATTGCCTTCGTTTCCCGCCCTTACTTTGGTGTCCGCGGTCAAATTTGACCGGTCCTGTTTTAACTGCTATTACATTAACACAAAAACCATTAATCATCACCAAATGTCTTTTAACACCCTTTCAAACTGTACATATTGTATCAGACTCCTGGTATACATGAACAACTGCTGTAAATATACAAATAATAGACACTGAACATGTATTGCGTGTGCCAGGTTTGATCCATGTGGGGGGATGGGCACATAAGAGCGGGAAATGTGTCAAATTGTTCTGTGTGTGTGTGTGCCAGTTGTGATGGGGGGATTGGGCACATAAGGGGGGGGCACATCTAGAGTATATATATGTGTGTGTGTGTGTGTTTTATCTGATCCGGATGGTTACTAATTCCTTTCCTTTATGGCGGTCATTTTTGACCAGGAACACCATGGGTTTTACAAAGTTGACTAAATCATCCAAAATGCAATGAAAGTGCTGATCAGCAATTGTATATGTTCAAATGTCTACTGTGAAGGATATCATAAAGCCTGAATGCAATCAAATGTAAAACAAAAAAGTTATGATTGATGAAAGTAGTAAATCGGTCAGATTTGACCCGAAGACAACAGGAGGGTTAAAGGAATTTAATACTGTTTCCTTGATAAGTATAAAAGTGCAAGCAGACAGTAAAACCTCTGTAATATAATCTGAGTGTCTTGAGAGTTTAAATACACTGTAAAGCCATCAAAAAGTGGAAACTCCTACCTCTGCATTACATCCTTTGGTGACCCCGGTATAATCTGAGCTGCTGAGGAGACTGTACGGAGTCCTGGAGACTTCAATCTCCCGAAGACAGCCAGCATACCGCTTCAGAGTGACCTCTGACCTATAAAGAAATTATAATAATTTCAATAAAGAAGACATTTCAAACTCAGTGGAACTTCCTGTCTCTCAGCAGTGAAATGTAATGAGAAAAAGCAGGATTTCTGCAGCAGTGAAGCTATTGCATCATGTACTCAGAAGCAGAGTCGGGCGTCAACAACAAGAAGAGTTTGAACATGTCGTTTGTCCATATTAATAAAGCAGGATTTATTATATGAATCAGTTTTTGGGCAGCTGATTTGTGTGTATTGTCAGGTTTTGTCCATTTGGCCGTATTATTCAACAGTAAATGGACGAACAAATCCATTCTTTGACTGTGATCACCCTGAACATGTCCTAGCAGTATAACACCTTTGTAATTGTTTTCTGTGAATTAGGGCTTTATTTTTTGTAGCTCAGCAAGAAACTGTTACTTGCAGTGACACTTTGATTTGCATCTCAAATACATTTTGAATATGATTATGGAGATGGGGCCTGTAGGGCAGAGTCATAAATGTGAGGAATCCCACCTAAATGTTGCTGAACAGACAAACGTCAAATTCAGATTAATAAAGAAGCAAATAGAGAGAGTGATTTCCAGCCGCCGCGTGAAGGAGCCAAGATACACACAAACACACACACACACACACACACACACACACACACACACACACACACACACACACACACACACACACACACACACACACACACACACACCCACACCCACACCCACACCCACACCCACACACACACACACACACACACACACACACACACACACACACACACACACACACAGTCATTAGCATGGCTAGCCTCATGCAGAGGGAAATATACAATAAGTATTCACTACATGTCTGAATATAAGATGTATATATTCATTTATTTACCTGGCTGTCATGCTGTCAAGACAAAACATCATATTAAAACATTAGGACGCATTAGAAATACAGTTTCACCCAATGAATTGTCAAAACAAAACTCAACCTTCTTGCAAATAAATGATACAATGACAAGTAAAATGTGTAAAAACAGCTATAGATGTTCATTTAAATACTGATAAAGACTTTTGCATTCGCAGATGTTCCAAACTGTGAATTTAATATTACAGCAATAAAAAAATCTTACCTTGGGAGAAATGTTTTAAAAGGTCATAATTTGAATTACAAAGACTCATTTTCATTGTCTTCAAAAGATCCTGCTTTCCCTTTAAGAGGACAACAAATGACCCTATATGAAACATTTATACACATCATGACCTTTGCAATAAATACATCAAGTGCTGTGTATGCAAGTGTCTCAATGAGTGTGTTATAACTGTGTGTGTGTGTGTGTGTGTGTGTTTACCTATAGTTTCCAATGGTAGGCAGCCCTCCAAAGTAGATCTTCTGGTGTTCTTTGAGGTTCAGACCTGTCGCCGCGCCCTGAGACGTCGTCACTATTTTCTCCTCAGCACCGCTGTCGATGTCCACTACGGTCACCGTGGCTTTGAAAACAATTAAAAAGGAAAACATTTACAGAAAAGGCCGAGAAATGTACTTTCAAATTGTAAACCTATATATTGTTTTATTAACATTAAACTCAAGTTTTTTTGATGTTGCTTGTAATTGTTTTCTTTGCTGTGGAACCATATCTGTTGTGCATGCAAATGTTGACTGTTTATTCATTTGCATTGGTCTTTCTTGAAGAAAATAGATATTTATATTAATAGGACTACCTGTTCTTTAAAAAAAAAATAGATACAAAAGTATAGTTTGATGTTATCTAGGCTAATAATACTACACATTATTGGTTTTACACATTATATTTTAGGTTATCAGTTATCATTTATACTCTACATAATAATTAGCTTTTTCAGACTGTTGTTGTTGTGCTTACCTTGTTTCTTGTTCCGTGACATGGTGAGGGACTTCCAGTGTCCGTCGTTGTGCCGGCTGGCTGAGAGGGCGCTGCCGACTCCTGAGCCGAGGTCAAAGTTCACCTTCACCTTCCCCTCGGACAGCTCCAGAGACATGAAGTCCTTCTACAGTCACAGCAGAGGAAAAATGATTTTGACATTTAAAATCAATAACAGTCCAATAACAGCATTGTGCAGCAATAGGATAAACATTTGATTTAAAGTTTATCCTAGGGCTTAATATGTTTAATTACCCAGAAGGTTGAAAAGGTTTTTGAAACATGAATATGAGACAATTATAATTGGGTTTTGTAATATAAAATAGGAGCACATTCTGGGTACTGATCCTAAAAGAATTATTAATTTATGCAGCTACAATTTGACTTAACTTTGTAAATCTAGACAGTTATAGCACACGCTTACACCGACCGAAAACTAAAGTCTCTGGCCTCTGTGTGTTTGTTATTGTTTCTTGGAACTTTTGCTGTAAAAAATGAAGGTGACTTTTTGCATATTCTTAAGGATTCTACACTAGGATTGTTACGGCTGCTGCCTTCCTGGTCGTCTTAACTGTGTTAATCTGTGTTGTATGTAAATGAGCTGTGCGGTTGCCCTGACGTGATTGGCTGCCATCTCCTGGTCCGCCTCCTGAAGATTGTGATTAGAGCACGCCGGGCCCGACGCACTCCAATCGCAGCGCACAGCCGGCGCACACCTGCTGGAGATGACTACAAAGCCTGGGGACAATTATCACTCTGGAGGCTCTGACATGTGGACAGACGCCTCCCGCTACTTGCTCCTTAGCGAATTCTGTTAACTGTGGTTAAACTTGTGTGATTAGTAGTGTCTAGAGTAGCTTAGTTAGTGTTTGGAGTAGCTTAGGATTTTGTGACTGTTGCTTTTAGTTTAGCTGTGTTTTTGTACAGACTCTTTTTGTTAGTTGTACCACTTTTAAAGTGAGGTTTTGTTTCTTATTTAGTGTAATAGTGTTAATTTCCCTGTATGCAATTAGAGTCCTCCTTTTGTTGGTACTTTATTTAATTCTGCGCCCTTTTTGGCCGTTGTTTGTGCCAGGCTGCATGTCCTATTATTTTGTTACCCTGCTATCTAAAATAAACCCATTATACCAATTGCAACTGGTGTGTGTTGTTTTCCTCTACCCCTAGAGGGGGACGTAACAAGGATGGTACCTGTAAAATATGTATTACATGAGGAAAGAAAAGTTTGTCGCTGCCATCAGCCCTGACATTTACATTGGTCATAATCACTTTAGTTCCTTTCACTTAGTTTAACACATACCATATCTTCAGTAGCCAGATACATGAGCAGGGATTCGGAGGAAAATGTGCGGAACTTAAAGGTCACGCTGGAAACATTTGGGTTCCACCTGGTGGGACGTCCCACCGCGGCGTAGCCCTCCCCGTCCAGCTGAACCGTCCCCTCCACATCTGACCGCTGGGGGCTAAAGGAAGTAAAGATAACAAGTATTTCATTTTACTATCGCTCTTTTATAACCGTGTAACTGTCAAAGGAGTTTGAAATGTCACATACAATTAATTGCAAAGACGATGAAGTGGCCTGTTGAATATTTACAGATATCCCAAAAATAAAAGATAACTTTGTGATGAAATGTACCTGACGACACATCCTTTACAGTCTCCTTGTCTCTCTCTGTAGTTCCACAGTCCAATAGGTTTCCCGTCGAGGAAGGTCTCCCCCATGCAGCCTGTGAAGGTGTTTGTTCTCACTGCGTCCGCTTTCTGAAAAAGATAGGAGGAAAATTATGATTAACATTATTCATACAGAATGTCATTGAGCAGTCAAGTACATATCAAATCAAATATACCCCCCACCTCCACCCCAGCATGAAAAAAAAACGAATCAACGCAGACAAAGCAAACAAAAAGGCAAAATATATACAACACCTACAATATTGCTTTAGTGATTTTAGTAGCCCAGATTTCAGCAACACTCAAATCTATACACAATCATCTTAAAATAGTTAAATCCAGCTTGCGCTTCTCTACGTGTGTGATCAATGGCTGCCAGGCCTTATACAATCTATCAGTAGATCCCTTCAGAGTAGACCGGATCTTTTCTCGATGCAAACACTGCAACAGATCTCTTATCCAGTGAGTATGACGATTAACATGGTTTGACAGATTTCTTGGTGTTACACACAGAGAAAGAGAGCGACAGTTACCTTGACGGTGCCGAGTATCCCTCCGACAAACAGGTAGGCGTTCTGGTCCACGTCCAGGATGGTGAAGGTCGTGGGCGAGTTGGCGCTGGCGGGGGTCGGCATCATACCCGCCATGGAGCCCTCAAGAGGATAAACTGATATGGTGCCATTCAACCCATTACTGAGGACAGAGAGAATTAGAGGCAATGTGTTGGGAAAATACTGAATGTACTCTTCCAATATCAGAGTGATAACAAAGGCCCTACGTAGCTGTGTACGTAACAGGATGTAGGATTACCTATAGAAGCTCATGAGACACTGTGTTGAACATACAATAGCTATGTTCCAACGATTAAACATGATGATTCAGCCCCTAGGGAGATAGGCATATGACTGTCATGTTTATTGCTTACGTGGGCCTTAGCTAATCTGAACTAAACATTGTATACTGCTTTGAACCGGTATTCATCCATCTTGTGACTGTGTATATCAGCTTGTGAAGGACAATGTTCTGGGAACTAGTTGTACCAAATGCTCTGTATGTGACGACTACTTCCATTCTTGCAAGGATAATAAATACATGTTCCTGATTATTGAAGCTCAAGCCGGTGACGAGTAATATTTGTCTAACATAATGGGTTCCATGTTATTATGTTCCTGTATTTCCTCAGAGATATTCTCAGTGACTGAAGATGTTGCGGAGCCTCTTGGAATCAGTTTTATGAACTCTCGGTGATAAAGATGAATGATAGAAACACGTAGTGGAGCCGGGTCGTAGCAGGGAAACCTCTGAGCTGTAAAGTGAAATTAATCTCCCACCTTGGAGTTAGTTTTCAACGCAGAAACTGCATTTCTGTGTCGAGTAGGGAGACATTTTTAAGACTTATAGTCTGTATGCTCGCGTTGAAAAAACACATTTGGGAAATCTCTCAGATGTTAATACATAGTGCAGGTGGGATGTCCCCTTGGTGTGAGTGGTTCTCGTGTTGGATGGTCTGCTCCGTTTTGGCTTTCAGAGAGAGAAACTGGTTCCACTAGATCACACTGTATCTATGTAATGATGTGCCACACCGTCAAGGCCTCAGCTCTTGATCGCTCAAGTGAAACAACATGTTTTCTGCTGCAGCATGAATAAAAGGATGTCATGTGGTTGTTGGGTTACGTTTACTTGTATTTGTTGTTGATTGTTAGATTCGGCTGTAGTGAAGGTTAGGTGAATATATCTGCTGTTTCATGAAATATTTGATATCAAACATCATTCCTAGAACTTCAAAACATAAAGGTAGAAGCAAAGAAAAACAAAATATGCAACCTTTGTTTTATAAATGTATACGAAATCCTTCATGTTAAGAGAATATTGTACAGTATTTCACTGTTTCTATCTTAGGCTCTAAATACATTTATTTTCGAGAAGCAGAAAGCCACACATAATAATTAAGCAAAAGAACGGCTTAATGATCTAAAAATAATAAAGAAAAAGTAATACAATTAATACGTGTTGATACTGTAATGCTAAAGTGCATTTGATATTTTTATCTAAATTGAAATTTTTTGTTCAAACTTAAATTGAAAAATATATAAATAATACATTTTGAGATGTGCATTTTCTTGGGCTGAAGCCAACATCAGTGTTTGTTGGAAAGCCCTGTTTATGTGCCAGAGAAACAAAGCATGTGCATTTATTTGAGTGTGTGAGTGTGTGTGTGTGTGTGTGTGTGTGTGTGTGCAAACTTCTTACCGAGACGCCTCTATTCTGTGCCAGTTCCCATCGTGGATGGTGTGATGGGGATATTCGACCCTCCCCACACCCGAACCCACGTCCCAAAGGAAATATACCTTCCCCTTACGCATCTCCAAGGCGAGGAAATCAACCTGAGAAACACAGAAGACACTATGCTGAATGGACTGTATACAATCTGTTTACGATATGTTTTATTGTGCAACATGTCATGTCAACAAGGTTCTGAAAATAGAGGAAAAGGAAAGAGAAATCATGTAATTGAGGCTATGATTAATGCAGTCTCACAAGGCCACAGTGCAGTATACAGACTCACTGCATTTCTATTATGGCTGGGCTGGGTTTTATTGTACATATAAAAAATATATACTCCGTGAATTGTACTGTCACAAAGGAGAGTCTCACAAAAGGCAGTTTAAATATCCTGAGTGTATAAGTTCCTAGTATAGGTCAAGGCCCAAAGACATTGCATTGTGTAAAATCAGGAACATTACCATTTGAATGCAATGCAGTATACACAGAAGAACATTTCTCAACTAGTCCAACACTTTGTGAAGGTGGTTGGAGTAGAAATGTAACCAGAAATTGAATTGTGTTTGGAGGAAAAGACGGTTGGTAATCAGAAAACAGACAGTTTAGGGTTTAAGCCAAGCAAGATATGCATACTATATTCGATAAACTAACACATTAAAGAAACAGGAAAACCACCCATGTTCCTTTTCTTGCTAGTTGGTTAAGGGCTTTGTTGGGGTATCTTTTTTCTCCAAATCATGACGACATGTTTTTAGATAAAGGACCGAGTAGAAGAGGTGAAATTCTGACCCCTTTATTCACTGATGCCTGTGGTATAAAACATTGAAACCTTTCATTAAAATAATTGTATATCAGAGTCAACCAATGACAAAGTGTGTCCATAGCATTAACACAGCCTTATTTTTGTATTGTGTAGTAAAAAAGCAAGTGTTCAGTCCTTAGATGACGTCAACCAAGAGTTATGCAACACTGTTGGCAAATATACAAAATGATGATGATAAATAAGTATCTCAATGTACGACTTATAGCAAGGAACCTTATAGAGTATTTATGATGTAGGGCACATGTGTCAAACTCAAGGCCCGGGGGCCAAATCAGGCCTTTGGTGGATTTAATTTCGGCCCGCAGGATCATTTCTAATTACTATTAGATCTGGTCCTCCGGTATATTACACGCACACCTTCACTCCATCCTGAGGGTCTCCTCCGCTCAGAGCCTGAGCCCAAACATTGATGACCTTGCACCCAAGATGAGATGCCAAGTATCTGGCTTGAACTAGCATCACAGAGCAGCACACTGACTTTAATGGATGTTTCCTCCTGCACTTTCTTTCTTGAGACAACAGGGCATGTTTGTTTTTTTCTTTGAGGGAAATAGTTTTTTTGAAGCTGTTGTTGGCCTGTGGAAAAATGACTCTTAGCTGCAGATAGAGCCATAAGAAATTAATGCAACTGATTATTTAATGTTTAATATTGTTTTTATAGGCAATAATTTAAGCTTTGTTAGTTCCAGGTTTAATATTTAATAAGTTCATTTAGGTAAGGTCTTTAGGTACTAAAGCTTTTATGTGTGCTGCTCCTCTAGCTTGGAACACTATGCAAACAAAATTGAAACTGAGCATTTTGGTTCCCTTGCATCATTTTAAAGCTCGGATAGATGAAATGTTATAGATATCTGTCATTGTGAATGGGTTGCTAATGTATACCCCTGTAATTATGTTGTATGATGTCCTTTTTGTTTTCTGTGGTTCTTGAAAAAGAGATCGTTGATCTCAATGGGATTTTCACCTGGTTAAATAAAGGCTACAAACAAACAAACATTTCAATACGTTTTGCAATAAACATTGAACCAGTCCGGCCCTCGACTAGTACCGATTTTTTTATTTTGGCCCACTGTGTATTTGAGTTTGACACCCCTGATGTAGGGGATGGTGAATGTGTGAGCTGTAGAGCGACTTCGCCCTGCCTCGGTCTATTCTGAGGGTACAAAGGCTGGCATTTTCTCCATCTATCCCTATAAGTGGATTTTCACTGGATCTCGTTGTATTTTGATTAATGGTCGTATTACTTATGTATGAGCCAAAAAGAATTTGAGCATATGCTCTCATCCGAATTCTGTCTCTGAAGTACACACACACACACACACACACACACACACACACACACACACACACACACACACACACACACACACACACACAACACACACACACACACACACACACACACACACACACACACACACACACACACACACACACACACACACACACACACACACACACACACACACACACACACACACACACACACACACACACACACACACAGCATTATTATTCATATAGTATTATGCACAATTAGGGATTATTAGGGAGTGACATTCAAAGACACAAATGACACACATGTACACACACATAACTACACACACTTATCTTTCTAGTCTCTCCAGAGAAATAGCGATTATTCATTAGCACAGATCACAGGGCAGCATCGTTATTATTCAACTAGCATTACACACTATTAGTGAAATGGATAGCGCGCACACACACCACACACACACAGACAGAGCATTACTATTCATACTGAAACCTTCACTATTAGAGAAAAGTGACACACACAACACACACGTGCACGCACATTCAAGACTTCCCAGTCAGATGAAAGCAAAGCAGTGATTTCTCTGGGGAAATCAGGCTAAAGCAGATAGCAAAATAAACTTGTTAATTGCTGCTGCTCCGTTTGACACACACACATGCATAAACACACACATACCCACACATATGCACACTTAGGGATTATTAGTGGTACCTTTAAACAGCAGTGTGCTATGTTTATAGGGGTGTTAGTGAGTAAGTGTCAAGAAGTATTAATTATTCTCCTATTAGATAAATCGCTCTGGGAATGCTTGTAGGCTATGTGTGTGTGTGTGTGTGTGTGTGTGTGTGTGTGTGTGTGTGGGTATGTGAGGAATGTAAGTGTGTTTTTCTTTGTTTGCATGTATTCTTCTGTGTGTGTGTGTGTGTGTGTGTGTGTGTGTGTGTGTGTAATGTATGTGTTTGCACCTTTCCTTTCTGAACACAGGCATTATAAAGTATGATAAATGCTACACAATCTAGTGCCGCTCAACATTGTATTCAATATGATTAATGCTTTAATATGAAACATTAAAGCGTGGATTTGACTGGATTTGAATTTTTTTTGCAATAATATCAAAGCTATTTCAGGACAAAGTGACCATTTTTAACCACGAGACATTAGTAACCCAAACAGACTTTATGAGTGTGTGTTAATATGCGGCATCAGTATTAACACAATTCTGATTGATACCTCTCGGTCAGTACATACACGTACAATCACAGTTAAGTTTGATAATTGGGATCTATATTTGTGATTGTGAATCATCCATTGCTGTAGTTTTGATACACAGTATTTCCTTATTGACAATTCTACATATTTTTGCTCATATGTGCATTATACTCAGTATATGAACTTACATATTTGGCTGATCCCATGTAGAAGAGCAGGTTGTCGGGTGTGGTGGTTTTAACGTGGAGGATGATGGTGTTGTACCTCCCTTTCCTGATATCAGGGCGGTAACTACGGAGACAGTCACCACCTGATGACACTGACACTTTGATCTGGAAAGAGGAAGTACATTTTAGTTTGTTTTTATTCATATTTATTGACACCAACACATTAGAAAAATGGGCTACAGTTAGTCAGGTGTCTACATTTTTACTTGTCTGAGGTCTCAAACAAAGGCCTCATTGTTTAAGTTGGAAAGTTTGGCCTGAATCTTTTTTTATAATTTGGCATAACAACTTAATTTAACTTTCATATTTTTATTTTAGAACTTTTAAATGGACTATTTTATTTACATGACAGAGTTTACTTCAAATATCTGTATCAGTTTTCATATAAAGAAGCTTGTGTAATGGAAAGTGATTTGGAAAGAAATAATTGATTGACACACCTAAGTAAATTCACAGGTATTAAAATGTGATGCCTACATGTACTAACCGAGTTAGCTTGTTTCCTGGCTTGGTTGATCAGTTCTTTGATTTGAGAGATGTTACGCCTCAAGTTGTCCTGCAGCTTTTTGATTGGCTGCAGCTTCTCCAACAGCCTATCAGCTTCATCCTCTAAGTCCTTCACTTTAGCTCCTGCAGCGTGGACTGAGGGGAGAGAGAACAGCAGTGATACAGAGCAGTAGAGAAGCTGTTAAAGTCAACATTACACAGTGGATTATAGCTGAGACGGCATGGAGAGTTAGCATGTGAAGAGCCAGGAAAGGATGATAAATGATGGCAGCTGAAGAAATCACAGATATTACTCAAGAAATGTGGAGAAATATGGAAAAAGAACAATGGAGAAGCTAGCGAGAGCCGAACAATTAGTGTAGCTCAGCATTCAAAGGAACCTTTTTTACACCATTTGCTTTTATATATTAAAAAGCTTGAAGCTGAAAAAGACAGGAATTAAAAAAAGAATGACACATAAATGAAAATACACTGCCCCATGCTTTGCAGCGTGCAGAGCTCTCATGCTCGAGCACAGCAGAAAAGGCAGCATTAGAAGCAACTGCTGCTGTATAGCAATTAAAGATAGTGGTAAAACTATTGTGTGGTGCTCCAATCATGTTGTTGAAATCATTTTAAAATAGGATTCAGAATTATATCAGAAGGAAAAACAACAAATGCTTAGAAATGTTTGCTGGAATCGGTAATTACAACATGGTATTGGTGCACCACTTAGAATATAAAGTAAGCTTGGGTAATTGAAATATACATACTGATGGCTGTGGGGATTGAAAAAAGAGACAGAGAGAACAAATATGTCAGGATTTTGTGGAATTCATGAATTTACGAAGCTCTCAGACAATAATGTAGAAGCTCTAAAATAATCAAGATAAATCAGACATGATTTCAGAGTTTAGAGATCTTACGATTCAGTTTCAAGTTATTCATTTGTTTGCAGAACCTACATTTTTAAAAGGTACAACATGAAGTGAGTAAACAGGATACATACAAACCAATTTTGTCTCACAAAAGCAGTTCAATATCAAACATTCTTCAGGGCAATAGTAACACAGTAATAGATCTAACTCGCTATTTCTCACGGTAAATGTTTAATAACCCAACCAATAAGGAAGGGGCAGTGTTCCTCGAGGCTGAACAAGCTCACATAAGATGTTGTACTTTGTGTGAAGTTGTAAAATAGCCAATAGTGAGGAGCTTTACTGTTTTTATCCGGGTCCTGGATCATGTCATTGGCTGCTTTGACGGTGTCCTCCAGATCGCTGTAGTTACTCTGGAGGCCATGGAGTTGCAGGTTCAAATCCCCGAGGCGCTCCAGGACGTCGATGGCGGTGGCGTTAGCATCTGCTGCTACAGCCTTTGTGGCTGCTAGCTTAACTGCTGTGTCTGTAAAATGATGACATTTCATAATATAAGTATTAAGTGTGGGATGTACTAATGTATGCACACGAGACAATTACTTCAATGTTCTATCATTTGCCTAACACCATACACAAGACGTGAAACACTGTTGGCATGGGAGCTTGCAGTATAGATAGTAGATGGTTGCTTTCATTGCTTTTAAATTGTATAAGGTTTTGTTGTTTTTATTTTTGTTCATATCTTTATTTGTTTTGTGAGCTGCGCTGTGTTTGTATTTCTCTATACATCACTTTGGTCTGGAGGGTTTCAAGTGCTTTATAAATAAAGATCAGATAGCAGAATAAAGGAAGATTCATTTCAAAACAATCACCTATTTACCGCCTCAAAAGCAACTCTTTGCTCACCTTCTACACAATGTGTTCAGAACCATGTAGATGTCCAGCATGATTAACATTTTGATATTGATTCATGTGTTATTGATGTGATTGAATCTTGAAATCCATTGCAAAAGCTAATAATCATTGCTGAGCGCTAACCAAACTATCAGATTTGTTAGCAGTTTGTGGAAATCCAGTGGAAATCACACTAATAAGGATTCAGTTTCTTATGATCTGACATGTTACCGTATTGTGTTCACTCACAGGGATTTTAATGGGAATACAAATATGTTATATTGACCTACTGGTCATATCATTTACAATATGGAGTAGCTGCATTTAATGGTTTTCTGCGAGTTGATCCAAACGCAGCCGTGTGCATCACTGAAGTTCACCGCCCTCGCTCACTGCAGAGTATTTCTGTGTCTGAGAGTACCGACATGTGTCAAGTTGAGTTTACCAGAGCAGCTGACCTCCATCGACACAGTGATATTGATCCACTCTGCCTTTATCTCGCTCCCACGCACACACACACACACTGTGTATTTGTGCAGTCATACCATTGGGGATAGAGTTGAGCATTGCCATGGTTCCGTTGACAGCTTTCAGCAGGTCTTTGGCCATGTCTCTCGCTGCTTTCACTCTGCCCTTCAGCCCGGACACACCATCTTCATTCTCTACACACACACGCACACACACACACACACACACACACACACACACACACACACACACACACACACACACACACACACACACACACACACACCACACACACACACACACACACACACACACCACACACACACACACACACACACACACACACACACACACACACACACACACAACACACACACACACACACACACACACACACACACACACACACACACGTGTTATACAGCAGGGCTACCAGCATTTTTAATTAAGGTTGAAGTGAGATTTCATATAATCTTCATTAAACAATTTTTTTTATAAAACTACCAATATACCCACACTGTGTATACTACATTATTACACTGTTACTGCACTAGTGACTATGCAACTATGATTATCGTGTCTTATCATTATCACTTCATGCAATATCTTCTGGACAGACATAGATGTACTTACCTTTGACATCATTTTGAAGTTGTTTGGCTTCGTTCAGCAGTTTGTGGCTCTTCTGCAGGGATCGCTGAGCGGCTTCCTTCACTGGGACCTCTGGATCTAAAGCCTAGAGGCACAATTTAAAGAAGTACTTCAGTAAAAGTAGAAAGACTTTGGACCAAAAATATTCCATAACCAGTAAAAGTCCTGATCTGAACATGTAACTTAAGTAAAAGTACAAAAGTATTAGCATTACATATATTTAGAGTAGAAAAAGTACTCATTCTGCACAATGACCAATTTCAGAATAACATAAAATACAGATGTTTTGGCAGCTAAATGTACTTTGAGTATCAAAAGTAAAACTACTTATTATGCAGAATGGATCTTATACAGTATTATGTTATTATTATGGTTATTATATTATCCTGTTTTTATACATGTAAGAGCAATTTTAGTTTTCAATGTGGACCGAATTTAGAAATACTCTGCAGATTAGTAGTAAAGTACTGCATTATACCATATGAGCATATCATGTGTTTTCATGTGTACAAAGCAACTATGACTGTTAAAATACATGTAGAGGAGTAAAAAGTAAGATATTTGCCTCTGAAATGTAGTGGAGTGGAAGTATAAAGTAGCTTTACAAGGAAATACTCAAGTTTTGTACAAATATGTCTAAAACATTTACTAATCTAGTTACTTTCCACCACTGACTATAAGTACAACATCTGTAACTTTACATGCCTTCACTAAAAAAGCTTCCAGAATAATTAAGAGCACACGACACAGGAAGGTGCAGAAATCTGCATAACACCTTTCTGTAAGATCAAAGCTCCACTACTTTGCATTGCTAAATGATATTCTAAGAAATACATTCAGCAGTTTTAATTTCTCCTTTCATTCTTTCGCCACCTTCAACCCTTCTTTCTTTGCTTCTTTCAAAGTCTTTTTAGCCCTTTCTCCCTTTGCCATTTACCTCTTTTTTGTCCAAAAGAGGAAAGAAGACAGGTGTGAAATTAAATGAAAACGAGGGGTATGAGTAGAGTAGAAAAGAAAAAGGTAAAAAAGAAAAAATGATGAATAAATGAATTTGGATGCAAGAGAAAATAACCAGAGGGAAGTAAGACACTATTAAAGGCTAAAGGGAGAAACGAAAATCAATGGAGAGGAATGTAACCAAAACACAATGAAACATAAGCAGAATGAAGAAAAAGGTGTTTTAAACAAGAACAAGAACAGGGGGAAAATAATAGAAACAAATGCAGAAAAAAATGAATAAATTATGAAAATAAAAGAAGAAAAGAGATTGCAGGTGTGTGTGGTCATGATAATGAAAAAGCAAAAGGAGAAAAAGGAAATAAGCAGAGGGAAAGAGAAGTGCTTTGATCCCTCAACCATGACTAATGGAGAGCCCAAGCTTACATTACTGCATGCAACACACACACACACACACACACACACACACACACACACACACACACACACACACACACACACACACACACACACACACACACACACACACACACACACACACACACACACACACACACACACACACACACACACACACACACACACACACACACACACACACACACACAATCATCTTGTGCGCCGAGTTCACAGTCTGGAAACCTAGAATGCTTGTACTTGATATTTACGATATGCATGCAATATGTGAGGTGGATTACATTTAGTATACATATGCATGCACAGCACAGAGTGAACATTTTCAGTCTACAATCTCGCAATAAAGAGAGTATTGGTAGACATGGAAACGGAAAATGATCAGGCACACGATGTTTTTCTCATAATATATTGATAACAGAATAACAGAGAATGGGTCAATAGGGGTGTTTCTGTGTGTGTGTGTGTGTGTGTGTGTGTGTGTGTGTGGTGTGTGTGTGTGTGTGTGTGTGTGTGTGTGTGTGTGTGTGTGTGTGTGTGTGTGTGTGTGTGTTGGTTCCCACTCACCAGAGCCAGAGCCTCACTGGCACTCTGTTTGGCTGCCTTTGCATCTCTCTCCGCTGCATCAACGTTTGCTTTAATGTTGCTATAGGCCTTGAAGGCAGCTGTTGCATTGAAGGAGAGGTTTTTAGCTTCAGCCAAAATACTGTGACGAGAGAGAGGACATAAAAAGAGATACTGATGTCAATTTTGATAATAGTATTATTGCATTGAAACCAGAACATTTAACATTTATGCGTCATATACAGTTTGTTATTGAACTCGTTGATTTTTAAGTTTATTCCCAATTGTCTGCAGGTGTACATCTATCACACTTACAGTTGTATGTTTAAATAATAAACGCATATCTGAACGCATTTATATGTACCTATCCAAAATGGCAGCAGATTCGTTCAGCTGCTTGGCGTGTTCCTCTGCATCGTGCACGTGATTGGCCAGGCTGCCGCCTTTCAAACCAGTGGTGAGGTGATTGACTGTATCATCCAGCTTCACATGAAGAGGATCCAGCTCTCTGCCCATCTCCTCCAAATCCTACAGGAAACAGACGAACATTCACGTCCATTGTACCATCCTTGCTTACTATTTTAATGTATTACTTTTTAAATTAAGAAATTAAAGAGACACAAGCGTCAACAACAGGGTGATATTCTTTTACTGCTATAATTCCTCTTTCCTGCTGCCAAAAGACAGAGTTGACCTCAGTTGGAGGATTTAAAAGAAGACTGAGGTTTCAAAAAGCCACAAGTTTTTACCGCACTACTCTAGGTTGAGTGAAGTACCTCTATCTCCTTGTTGATGTTTTCAGAAAGTTGGTTAGCCTCATCCAGAAAACGTTCTCCTTCTCCTAGGACTTCCTGTGCTTTCTGTTTCACCTCGTTCACTGCAGAGCTCTTCCTCTGCAAAAAACAAACCGGATCAACATCTGCAATGAACTCTGATGCGCTCCGTAGGTCAGCCAACTCACAATGCAGAGTAAAGCCTTGTTTCTCCCCTCCAAAAATAAACGTACTTAGTTACTTGTCATCAGAGTTACCCAGTAGTGTTCTCCATCAATGTCCTTGTCATCTTTAATCTGATAATATATTCACCTATTTCTCGTTGGCTTGCAACAATACAAATCAAGCATGGCAGAATTCAATTAGTAAATCACTTGAAAGGCAGTTAGACTAAACACGATGACAATACAGTGGCCGTGAGAGTAGAAACTATCAAGCATCAAATTAAATGTTAAGCTTCAGTTTGCACGTAAATCTTCAAAGCAGATGTGTGTCTCTTGGCGTAAAGAAGTGGAATTCTTTGCCGAATGATTTAAAGGGCTGTAAGAATATTTTGATGTTTAAGAAATTGTACAAAGAAAGCGTAATTAGACAGTAAGTGTACATGTTTTGTTTTAAAATAACTGTGTGGAATAAACAAATACACTTCTAAACATGGCCTTGTGATTGTTTGTGTGTGTCAAACTGGATGTGTGTGTAGCAGTGTATGAGCTTGTTGTACCTCCAGAGATGTGAGGTTAGCCTTGTTCTGTTCAGACACTGATCCAGCCTCCCTGGTCTTTCCCTGGGCAGAGTGGAGCAGATCCTGGGCCTCCTGCAGCTTCCCCTCATGGTCTGAGAGCTTCTCTTTTATCTAGGGAGGCAGATGGGGTAGCATTAAGTTAATGTCATTAATATAGAGACATAAGACAAAAGAGTAAAGATTAGAAGTTATAATTACCTCTGCTTTCAGGTCTTCTGTGGCCTGATGGGGGTCGCCAAATAATCTCTTCACTCTCTGATACAGCTCCTCTGCTAATCTGTGAGAAGAAAGGAGGAGGAGATTTGAATCTTTATGGATATATGTGCATATGTGTGTGTGTGTGTGTGTGTGTGTGTGTGTGTGAGTGAGTATACTGTACAGTAGGTGAATGTAACAACACACAGAGCAGAGAAGAGAAGAGGAGATGTATTGCAATGTGTGACAGAGCCTCTGCTTGTGTGAAGACAATAATCACTCCTTATGACTGAATGTTGAAATGCCGGAATGAAATTGCTGATTTTCTTCTATTGATCCCTCAGGTTGAGTTGGATTAAATTGTGCCAGTGCAAAACATTTCACATCGTCACACTAATGTGTCTGTGTGGATTAAGTGACCCAGTGAAGCAACATGTGCACCATATAACAAGACTCTATAGCACATGTGTCAAACGCAAGGCCCGGGGGCCAAATCAGGCCCTTGGTGGATTTAATTTCAGCCCGCAGGATCATTTCTAATTACTATCAGATCTGGCCCGCTGGTATATTTCCTTGTGGAAAATATTAAATCAAAAATGGACAAAGGAGGCATTGTTGGAGCAATCTTCTTAGATCTTAAGAAAGCTTTTGATACAGTCAATCATCAAGTACTCATTCACAAAATGTCCTATTTTAATTTCTCACCCAGTGCAATAGACTGGATGAGCTCCTATCTGTCAGACAGAGTTCAGTGTGTAAGGGTAAGTGGCGAGACATCACCACCCCTGAGGAATGAACTGGGTGTACCCCAGGGATCTATCCTGGGCCCAATTCTATTCTGCCTTTATATAAATGACTTGCCATCAGTGTGCACTGGATGTGAGGTGCAAATGTACGCTGATGACACTGTCATTTATGTCCATGCAAAAACCAAGGCCCAAGCTGCGGCCAAATTAAATGATGCAATGGTTCATGTAAATCAATGGCTTACTGACTCACAGCTATATCTGAATGTTAAGAAGACAGTCTGTATGTTTTTTAGCAAGACCAACACTGTATCACACTGTGAACCCAAGGTCTATGTGTCTGGGGAGGTCATTCAAACAGTTACACATTTTAAATATCTAGGCATTATCCTTGACACTACTCTATCCTTCAAAAAACAAGTGAGAAAGGTAACGCAAATAACTAAATACAATCTAGCAAACTTTAGATATATAAGGAACTGTTTGACAACACCTGTAGCAAAACTCTACATGACTGCCATGATCCTCCCCCACCTAACATACTGTATGAGCAGCTGGACCCAGGCGAATAGCACAACATTAAGGCCTATCCTGTCACTTCACAAACAAGCTCTCAAGGTTTTGGACAGAAAGCCTAAGCTATACCACCATTGCAAAATCCTGGACAAACATAACCTGCTCAGCTGGGGAAATATTTTAAAACACACTGATGCATGTCTCATTTTAAAAATTCTAAACGGCAAGGCACCCCCACCGCTCTGCACTTTTATACAGCATAACAACTCAAACAGCAGAACCACAAGGTCTGCCCTAAGAGGGGACTGTGTAGTCCCTCTTAGGTCCAGTTCCTTTGGCAAACAGTGTTTCTCTGTGAGGGCACCTATACTCTGGAACACAATACCAATACAGATAAGGAATAACACCTCCTATCATACATTTAACCACAATCATAAGAACTGGCTTTTAAACAATCAAAAATGTGAACACTTTTAACTGTATCAAGGTATGATGATACAGTTATTTCATCTGTTTGCATGTTCCTCTCTATTGTTGTACTGATGTTTACTTATTGTTGTACTGCTATTTATTTATTGTTGTACTGATGGTGTCTGCTGTACTCTATTTAATTATGTTTTTATTTTATAGTCTTGTTGTGGTCATTTAACATCTTGCCAAGGACAACAGTTGAAAATTAGCCTGCTGGCTAATACTGGCTCATTTACAGCAATGTGAATTAATGTCCTTTAAATAAATAAACAAACAAATATTGCACGCACACCTTCACTCCATCCTGAGGGTCTCCTCAGCTCAGAGCCTGAGCCCAAACATTGATGACCTTGCACCCAAGATGAGATGCCACTTATCTGGCTTGAACTAGCATCACAGAGCAGCACACTGACTTTAATGGATGTTTCCTTCTGCACTTTGTTTCTTGAGACAACAGGGCATGTTTGGTTTGTTCTTTGAGGGAAATCGTTTTTTTGAAGCCTGTGGAAAAATGGGTACCACTTTACAATAAGACTACCCTTATAAAGGATTCATAAAGGGTTTATAATTAGGTTGTGAATTAGGTGGTAAACACTTTTTTTAATCATTAAGAACCATTTATAAACCAGTTCTAACGTAGTTTTCATGCATCAACACAGGCTCTCTATTTGGCAAGATGACTAAGCCTTATATTGGCTACCTAGCTTACTTCGTCTTCTTCATCAGCCATCATCCTTGGTATCTGTTGTTCACTAAGTTGATTCCCCCCATCCATCTTGATGTTTCATCTCTTTATGACCATTTATTTACGAGTTACTAACATTTATAACTGTCAAAAGGGAACCTTATTGTAAAGTGTAAAACACATTCCCATGTATTAATGAGTTACTATCATTTTCAATTAAGCTTAGCAGTAGATAAATGTGGGCTCACTATTTGGCAAGCCACCTGCCAGGTGCCCTGTTTATCTCATGTCTTATAAAAGCTTATTAATGATTTATAAAGTGTTCACAACCTAATTAATAAAATAATTACAAACTATTTGTAAACCCTTTATAAGGGTAGTCTTATTGTAAAGTGGTATCGAAAAATGTAATCATAAGAAATGACTCGGGAAAAGCTGCAGATAGAGCCATAAGAAATGAATGCAACTGATTATTTGATGTTTAATGTTGTTTTTATGGGCAATAATTTAAGCTTAGTTAGATCCAGGTTTAATATTTGCAATAAGTTAAGTTTTGCAATAAACATTGAACTAGTCCGGCCCTCGACTAGTACCCATTTTTTTAATTTTGGCCCACTGTGTATTTGAGTTTGACACCCCTGCTCTATAGGATAACTCAAATGTTACCATGGGCATTATCATTTGCTCATGTCTGATGAAGATATTCTAGAATCTACAGGATAAATGTAGCATTGTATCCACTCAGTTTAATGCAACTAATACCCAGAGCTGTACAAGCACCGCAAAAAGAACTTCAAGCTGGCATTAAGCTTTGTAAAAGGGGCATTACCTCAATTATTCACCTGTTTGCTAACCTGGTCTCACCCCAACTACAGTGTATAGTCCATTTAGCCAAGTCATGTGAGTATACACAGCTTTTCATATGAGGTACCTAGCTGAGCACAGCTGGGAGTCAGAAGTGACGGTCATTTTCCTGATAGGGAACGCTAGTTTTCAAGAAAGAAAAAGTGGCATATCCCAAAAGAATAACCAGGAGCTTGTTAGATAATCAAACATCTTCACAAACCCTCCCAGAGGTATCGGAATTGACAATCCCACATTCACACACACCTCTTGGAGTAATTGGTATTAACTCTCTTTTTATTCTGTAAACAATGGTTTTCACTTTGTGCACAGCTGAGTGCAACACTACAGTAGGAATGGCTATTGAAAATGAGTACTGTTAGCCCCAGATTGAAACTGAATGTTACCCATCGCCTTGTTATTTGAAGACAGGATTTTTAGATCACCTTCAGGTTGGATGGTATGTTGTATAAACTAGTTATTTGCCAGCAATGCCATGTGCTTATGTATTGTACACCACCATTAGGAAAATAATGTGATAGATAAACGTCGCGGTAAATAACGTATGCCATGTGAATGTCTCTCAGGAGCCAGGTAGATTGTCTGAACTATCTCACAGCCTTCACTTTAATTGATCTGCCGTCATCAAGGTTTGCAACTCAGCCTTTTAGTTCCTTCCACATTTTATAATAACACGTTGCTTTAACATGTTTTTTTAGAAAGGCTCCTCTCTTTGGAAGCATTTAAAACAATGTAATAACCATATGTTTACCAGTGTCCCTTAATGAGCCTTATTTTCCACCTTCAGCATTAATTAAGACAACACGGCTCCAGTGTCCTCCAGTTGACATGCAAGGTAATGATTGGGTTTGATGAAACTTTAATGAACCCTTTGGGGAATAGCATGAAATGAACAGAATATAACAAATAAAAACAAATGGGAGAGGTGTTTGAATTATTATCTAACTGACTATTACAACATAACGTGCAATATACGAATGAAAAGTGACATTTGCAGCATTAACAGATACATAACCTTTGAGGCAAATGGCAAACTGAAAACATATTTAATTAAGAAACTTATAAAACTGATAAAAGGTTGTTCTTTTTTACGAAATAATCCTTTTAACATTTGCTTGTTTTCCTCTGCTGCTCTGGTTGAAATCTCCCCTCAGGGTTCAGTCTAGTAATCAAACGCAGACTGACAGACGAGTCATTTAGAGGCGGTTTGATTCTCAAAGTCTCTCCCTCTACAACTCCCTGTCCATCTGTCAGTTGTTCCCCTCTCCCTCTGTGACTTTCCTTCTCACTACACTTTCTTTGTATCCCTCTCTCTGTCTCTTGCCCTAAGGCGATACATTGCTTTTAATTAACTCATCGACCTCATCAACATTTACTGCTGAAAGACACAGAGAGAAAAGATTACTAATTCCATCAAGTGCCTTGAGAGGGAGAAAGTGAAAACAGGGAGAAACACTTTGGTAAAACATCAGCAGAGAGCCGTGGCTTTGGGATACGCAGCGATCAAATATCTGCTCGATGAGAGGTGTTTACTCCTGATGTCTCATGAGTCAACAAAGAAGCAACGAAATTAAAGTCTAAAAAATAAATTAAGGGCCTGTGATTTTATTTTTTGACGTTATGAAAATCAATCAGACTACAAAATAAATGACTAATTCCATCAAGTGCCTTGAGAAGGAGAAAGTGGAAACAGTGAGAAACACTTTGGTAAAACATCAGAAGAGTCGAGGCTTTAGGATACACAGCGATAAAATATCGGCTCGATGAGAGGCGTTTACTCCTGATGTCTCATTGGTCAACAAAAGAAGGAAATAAATACATATGTAAGGGTTGTTGCATGATTTAACCCATTGAATGTGCTACATTAATGTAAAAAAACAATTTAACAAACACTTTTACAAACAAGGCTACGTGTAGTTGCTGCTTTTTCTTCAAAAATATATTATAAAAATCAATTAGACTAAAACATCAAGGTAACATTAACTGTTGTCTTGGTTACATTGTCAAAATCAGTTAAAAGTGCATTTCTCATTTTCATTTATTTCTGCATGTTTTATGTCTACATTGATTTATTACACAACTGAAGTCTGCTGTGTAATATTAATGATGTAAATACATGAATAGAAGCCATTGGTTAGCCTATTTCTGTATAGGGAAAATATATCCAAATAGCTTCATTTGTGCAACCTGCAAATGTTAAGAAACAGATTGTATTACTATAGTTAACATTGCTGCATTTGTCTTTAAGTGTGTCATTTTGCTAGTGTAAAAAAATTGCACACTCAAAATATAGTTTACATTTCTATAGTATGCAGGTATGTTTTTTGTCATATTGAATTAAGATGCATTTGATTTCATTTCTCCTCCCTCTCTCTCATTGTGCAAGTTCAAATAGAGAGAAAGAGTGTAGTGGGGAAACATCCCGCAGAACAACAAGCAGGAAGACCGAAAAGTGGGATTGAATCCCAGCAGGGACGGAGACAATCGAACACACACAAGGTGAATATATTAGCATACTGGAATGAGTGAAAACAACAAAAGAAGATAGAAAAAAGTGGGTGAAAAAAGTGTGTTTCCATGCAAATACCAATGGGGGTTCTGGTCAACTCATCAAACAAGACTTAAAAGAAGAAAGGAAACACAAAAACTATTCGTAAGACTGAAAGCTCTATAAACACAAAACATTAACACTGAATAAAGTGCTTAATAGCAAAGAGGCTCAGTTTGTTCCTGTCTCTTGGCATATTTTGAGTTTGTTCGTTAAGAAATGTACAGCTATGGTTTGCTCATCGTGTGTGTGTGTGTGTGTGTGTGTGTGTGTGTGTGTGTGTGTGTGTGTGTGTGTGTGTGTGTGTGTGTGTTTGCTCCATCTGAAACACAGACGGTTTGTTTGCAAAGTATTTCTTAAAAATCTGTCTTTTTCTTGTATGTGGGAGTAAGATACATGACCTGTGTGTGTGTGTGTGTGTGTGTGTGTGTGTGTGTGTGTGTGTGTGTGTGTATGTGTGTGTGTGTGTGTTCAAGTGTGTCCATACTCCATCTCTTCGTCTGCGATGTTCTTCTTCCCTCCCAGCTGTCGTTTTCTCATCTCGTCTAGCATGGCCTGGATCTCCTCCTTCATCTCCTCCAGGCTTTTTTCTGGAGTTCCATCGTTCCGAGAGAGAGTTTGGTTCAACTCGGCAGCCTTGGACTGGAGGTCTGGACACACAGAGAGACATTGCTGTGAGGACTCTACAGATGGACAGATCCAAGTCATGTTCTTGCATTGACACAAAACAAAAAATAAAATAAGACTTCAGCTCCAGTAACTCTTAAAAATATCAGTGGAATTTAATTTGTATATTTTGTTGGCTGCAGCTAACTGCTTTAATCAGGGTCGAGGATAGAGGTGAAAGAAAACCATGGAGCGAACAGGAAAGAAAACATAATCAAATCATGAAGAGGCTAAACAAGCGATATGGAGCTGCAAGCAACTACATTCATTGGTATTATTTTATTTTGATATACTTTATTAATCCCCGTGGGGAAATTGTTTCTCTGCATTTGACCCATCCTAGTGTTAGGAGCAGTGGGCTGCCATTATGTACGGCGCCCGGGGAGCAGTGTAGGGAACGGTGCCTTGCTCAGGGACACCTCGGTAGCACTTGGTCTTGCCGGGACTTGAACTGGTGACCTTGCAGTTGCCAAGCCAAGTCCCTATGGACTTCGCCACCACCGCACTAAGGTAATAAGATAAACTAAGAGTCTACAGCCATGTGAGGCTGTAATATATACAATTTATCTGGAAGGAATACATGTTTTGTGTTTAATTCACTGTATCATTTATGTAGGTAAAACAAAGGTTTAAATAACTGGAGCTAACATTAGGTTTGAACGAAAGTTGATTATGAAACACTTAAAAATGTAAGCTAGCGACTTTTTTTTTTTGCTCACTGCGAGGTTGGGCACAGAGGCTTGCGGTGAAAACAGCCATTTCAGTTGTATGTTATTAATATGCGTTTGCTGTGGGGAAAGTACAGTTTCCTGTACAGTGGACAAATGAAGCTTAGCGCAAGTTCAGACAGGAAGACCTATCACTCCGTATTGCACGTCATGGCAATACTCGCTCCCTGCACTAAATGACAGGGAGCGCCACTCCTCAGCTAACCTATCACTCCCCTCCATTTACAAGCCTAATTATCGCACCTGTTAATCCCTCTATATATGCTCTCCCCTTTCCTATCAGCTGTCTTCCAGGTGTCAACGCGCAACCCTCCTCCACCCCTTCGCCTCCTGCTTTCAACTCAGGGCCAAGCTTAACCTTCTCCCTTCCAACCGGACCTAACCACTTATAACCACCACCAGTGTCTAGACCCAGGGGGATTCATCGGAAACGGTTCTTCCCTTCCCGATTGATATCCTACAAAACCCGGGCCTAATCGCCAAAACACCATTTCATTCACTTGTTATAAACTGTCATCATTATGTTTCATTTATATAATGTGACCGATAATAAATATGTATTCCATACATCACGTCTCTCCTGATTGAACTATAAGCACACCTAGATACTGGTGTTGTTTTGTGCAGACATTTATGAACATGGAAAACAGTGAAGAACTATATTTTTCATACCAAGGTTGGAGCTGAAACCAAAATGTAAAGTGAAACTTAATGGTTGCTTGCACTCACCATCACCCTGCAGTCAATACGTATCCACATAAATCCCAATGCAATGATTGTATTACAATATTTAACATAAATACAATGTTTTGCAATGTATGCATGCCTTGACATCTTATCACTGTATATATCAACATTCAAACATGTTTTCCACTTGAAACAACATTACAACAGAAATAAATTATATGTGCACATACAGTACAAACATATACTAGCAGTAAACATGCCTGATGGACATTCTTGCAGTGGGCGCTGCTGTGATGTTAAAGTTGTTATGGCTCAAACAGAAAGAAAGACAAAATCACACCGCTTGATCTTAACTCATTTAAACACAGACACACACTGAGACACACACTGTTTTAACACCATTCAAAGCCAGTGATGTTGGCAGACTTCATGTTTGCCCTACTTTTATCAAATTAAAGGCAGTGAAATCTCAAACCAATCAATGATGAAACTGCACTAAAACACTCCAAGGTTCATTTGAATGAAACTGCGGGAACTTAATGAGGAATGTGTGTTAGTGTGTGAGAGTGTGCCAGAGCAAAACAGAGGAGGGCACAGCGTTGTGTTGAGCTGTTTGTGTGTGTGCAGTGGTGGGTTCTTCCCTCATTTGAAATGTAAACGTTATATGATTAAAGTTGAAACTTGAAAGTGTGTGTTGGAGTTTGTAGGTGTGTGGGTGGGCAGGTGTGTGTGGTTGTGGAAATGCAGCTCTTCCTATCATTTGAAATGTAAACATGATGTGATTAGAGCCAAGACCAAGCTAAAGCCATCATGCTAATGAACAGCTGTACTGCATGTGTGTGTATGCTGCATTTTGACGTGTGTGAGTGTGTGTGTTACAGCCCTATAATTACATAGTGGAATTTAAAAGCCAATTAAACACTTAAAACGTGGATGGAATCATATTATGGTATCTAGTAAACACACAGAGGAAAGTGTGTACAGTATTTTCTTTCGTCATTGTGTGTGTGTGTGTGTGTGCATGGCTGTGTGAGTGCAAAGTTGTATGAAATTGTGCACCACTGCATCAGTGTTTGAGTATGTGGTGTGTTTGTGTTGGTTTGTTATAACCAATAATTAAGTCTCTAATTGCTATTCTCAATCATCCAGTGAGCCACACTCTCTTTTCCTCTTTGTCTAACACGCACGCACGCACGCACGCACGCACGCACGCACGCACGCACGCACACACATTGTATTTTCTAGCATCAGTGTGGGGTAGAGGACGTTTTTTTAAAGAACAGTATATAACTGCAAGTGGGACTCAACAATAGCTATCCAGGGTACGTGATTTAAAGTTGGTAACAGAGTTGGCCATTATTGACATTTCCAAAGACGTTCATGTGCCGTATATCCACCAACATACTCAGATTGGATTGTCTTCATGCACTGAAATGAGTACATAATAGTCTAAACAGTATAGATGACAAACTGGCAGGTACTGTAGACCAGTGTTTTTCAAAGTGGGGGCCCCGACCCCCCGGGGAGCCGCCAGGGGGCACCAGGGAGGTCACTCAAAGTTTGAGGGAAACAGTTTTTTTTTAAGTTTGATTTTTTTTTTTTAATGTTATTAATAGCTGCATATCTATCAATCTACTGTATGTGTCCTTTGATGCCAATCTTTTCATATTTTTTGTTTTTGAATCACACGACCGCCCTTCAAGCCAATCAGAATCGAGCTGCAACTCGAAACTGAGTATCTGCTCAGCTTTTGGAGCAAGTGAGAGCGAGTGAATGTTTCGCTCTGCAGCTGGATGAGAGCACGGATGTAGCAAATGTCGCAGAATTGTTTGCATCCATCAGATTTATTTCAGAAGACAACTTTGTTGAGGAAATATTATTTTGCAAAGCACTGGAAGGTAGGACCACATGAAGAGACATTTTCCAAGTTTTAGATGAGTACATCATCTCAAACGGACTTGACTGGTCTCGTTGTGTGGGTGTGTGTTCAGATGGGGCAGTGGGGCTATGACAGGCAACAAAAGAGTGACAGCTTTGATCAGGCAGAAGGTCCCAAATGTAGTAGCAACGCACTGCATGTTCCATCGGGAGGCACTTGTACACATCATTTAGAAAAAAAAATTGCAACAGGGGGGTCCCCGCCAGAGGATAATGCTATATGGGGGTCCTTGGCATGGCAACGTTTGGGAACCCCTGCTGTAGACCAGTGCTTCTCAAACTTTTTTCAGTAATGTACCCCCTTTGAAACATTTTCTCAGCCGAGTACCCCCTGACCGACCCCGAACATCTTTGATAGAAAAATATACATAATTACAATATAGTGATGTTCCATCAGTGTGTGATTTATTAACTCCTTCATGCATGAATTACAACAAATTAAGGATCTTTGTGCTTGAAAAGAGTTTTTCAATTGAAGTAATATATGTTTACAAACCAATGAACAAAATGATATATTATGAAAAACTATAAAATACAATACACACATTTGACATGTTTATATGAGGACCCCCTTGGTGGTTCTAGAAATATTTTTATATAAAATTGTGTTTTCTATTTCACTTATTGTACTAAAATTATTTTTGTAATCATGCATGGTATTTCTTTTAATTAAACTTTTTTTTAATTTAAAAAAAAAAAAATCTCACGTACCCCCTGCAGTACCCCAACGTACCCCTAGGGGTCCGCGTACCCCCATTTGAGAATCACTGCTGTAGACTATTGTTGGACTGATGTCACCAGGGTTTCTTCAAGTGTGTTTCATTAACTTTATTTAAAATGAAAAGCTCCACATCATGTGAATTAGTTTTATCAACACCCGTTTCCAAAGACAAAAATGAACTTTTAAGCTCACATAGAGCAGTGCTTCTCAAAGTGCGGTCCGCGGACCACTGGTGGCCTGTGAGCGCCCCCTAGTGGTCCGTGAGTATATTGGTAACATTTGAAATTAATTAATTAATTAAAGTTTTCCGCACTCACGCGGGAATATCTCCGCAATGGAGCGAGGTTAAGTTTCACTTTGCATATTGCATGATATAGCCCAGGGCAACACCTTCGTCACACATGTTGCCACTTGTTTGTACCATTTTCAGGCAATTTGTAATCTGTTCTAGAAAAACGATGTGTTTTGGGATATTTGTGGAGTAAGGTGGTCCGCGAGTGTTTTTTTATTGGTTAAGTGGTCCTTGGTATGAAAAAGTTTGAGAAACATTGACATAGAGGAACTAGTTTATACAATCTCATCCAGGACACACTGCACCACACCTTTCTTCCACATTTGGTTGAAGAATGTTATTTTTAAGAGATATGGTAAACACAGGGATGAGAAACAATTGGCTAGAAGGAAAGGGAGATAGAGCTGTGATTTATTTTATGTGGCAATTATTTTCAAGAGCAACCCCAGCACAGAAAGAGAGTGACCTGCAGGATCAAAGATGGGGGAAAAGACAGCTTGAACAGAAGGTCTGCACATCGCTTGTCCACTGATAAAACATAAGAGCCCACATAGATAAACACGGATGGCCTGGAATCCCTGCAGGAGAAGAACTGAATCTCCCTTTAGACTTCAGAGATAACCTTTCCAGTGGAGCGTGTGTAAAGGCTGTGACTGTGATGTCGCAGAAGAAAACACACATCCCAAGCTGGTAACACAGCAACTGATGCAGGGCTGAGGGAAGAGATGCTGTACTCTCATGACAAAAACAAACCGAGCTGAAGTGAACAACGAGTTACACATGCAGAGAGAGAGACACTGTGTGAAGCCAGGAGTGAACAATCAGGACCGTACCGCAAAGTCCTTCTAGTGAGATAATGGTTTACACCAGAGGGGACATATCCTCTTGCCTGAAGGAAGTATTACAACCTTAAGCTGTGGATACATCTTGTTTGTGGTTAAACAAAAACACGAAAGCATTCCAAACTTTAAGTGTTATTTGCTAACTAGCCGCAAACTAAATAAAACAAACTGAATCATTGCAGCCTCTCATCTTGGTGGGTGACTCTTTATCGCCATGGTTACTGATGCTGCAGCCTGCTGGATCTGTCTTTATTGTTAGAGCAACACTTTGAACCAGCAGCTGGCCGTCGGCCCACAATCCATTGTGTTTGAGCTACAGTTCCCATTAGTGCAGGGGTGTCAAACTCAAGGCCCGGGGGCCGAATCCGGCCCGCGACTTCATTTTATGTGGTCCCACAAGAGCTTGCAAAGAATATAATATGTTTATTATACGGTTACATGCTACTTTACAGAAGCACGTTGCCCATAAACGACATGTCCCACAATGCATCTCAAATTAGATTTTTTTCTCAGAATTTGACTTTTTTTGTCAAAATATGCCTTTTTTCTTAAAATGTGCCTTTTTCTAAAAAATAACTTTTTCTTCAAAATGTCACTTCTTTTTTTTTTTGTTTTTCCAGAATGTGGCTTTTCTTTTAAAATCATATTGTGACATTCTCACTGAAGAGACTTGCAATTATTTGCCCTAGACTTGCTTTCAGACGTAGTTAATTATGAAGTTATAATAATAATCCAATGCAGAGGCAATAATGTAATATAATACATTATTTTATATATATTCAATATTTATATATGTATTTTTGGTCTTAAAGTTAGAACCGGCCCTTTGAGTGCAACCATAATACTGATGTGGCCCTTGATGAAATTGAGTTTGACACCCCTGCATTAGTGAGTTAAAGAGGAGGCAGAGAGGTGTTCAGGTTGTCTCACCCCAAGGACGCCTCTCCTTCAAAAGGTGGGCCTAATAAGATTTTAATAGATTAAGGCCGTAGTCTAACAAGGTCTCTGATTTTTGTTGATCTTGGGTGGCAACACAAGTCTGACACTTTTCTCATCAAAGTACTGCTTTTAAATCCAATTCAACTTGTTGGTCTTTCTGAAGATGCTACAGTTACACTTATTTGCTGCTTTTGATTTGTTCTGCCTGTATACTTTTTAATCTTTAATATCATAATCTATATATTTTTCTCTTCTGTCATTACCCACATTTCCCACATGGATTGCTTACATTTAATTCAGAGTGATGCAATGTGCTCCGATGACAAATACAAACAACAGTACACAGATAAACCTGGAAATTGTGGTTTGCAGGATATGGAGGCAGTTAATGGAGGGGGTGTTTGTTTCGTCTACCTCGAGCTCCCAGCAGTGTGTCCCTGATGAACTGCTCCAGGTCCTCAGCTCGTTTATGAATCCTGTCCGCATCGTCCTCCACCTGCTCTCCGTCAGCAGACACCTTAGTGGCCTAAACACACACATGCACAAACACACGTCGTAAAATAATAATAAACAAGTGTTGAATAAGTGAACATATTGACTTCTGTCTAACAAACGAAGGGAAGAGATGGAAGTCTTACAGGAGATGTCAAAGTTTGACGGAGGAAGATGGCAACATGTACAAATATACAATCAATAGTATTGCGTGTGAGCAGTCTGGTCTGTTATTTGTCAGTTTTTCAATTATACATGCACTCAAATACTGCAACGTACTCTACACACATAGATTCATGAATTATTGATCTAAAATCTAAAACATATAAATCAAATATTAACGCATACATGGAGATGGATGATTCTTTGACAGATATGAAAACGCATCATAAGACACACATACACACAGAAAGAAAGAAAGAGAAGGTCATTATTGTTGTGATTTGACAGGACCAGGCTGTATCATTTTCACTGGTGTGTGTGGTGTGGTGTGGTGTGTGTGTGGGGGGGTGTTGTGTGTGTGTGTGTGTGTGTGTGTGTGTGTGTGTGTGTGTTGTGTGTGTGTGTGTGTGTGGGATGGGCCGTGGGTGATAGCGCTGCTGTCAACAAATGTCAAGGCCCCGGTCCCTAAAAGGGTGTAGCTTGACAGCGTGAATGTGAGTGTTATTTTTCTCCACTTGGCACTTGTCAACCGCCTGCACTCAAGAATTTTTTTTCCATTTTGGTGAACTCCTCTTGGAGACATAGCTGTGAATCCGAACATTTTAAAGTAAAGGAAATAAAAGTAAAAAATTAAAGTAAAAGTTTATATTGTTTTTTTATTCTGTATGAGAGTGAAGACATTCGTTTTGGCTGGATATACTTTTAAGATACTTTCAAGCATTAATGGGTTCTCAATTTGATCTGCCATGCAAAGGCCTTCTGTTTACAGATCTATGTAAACATGGTAGGGTTTAAATGACAGTGATCCCGGTCTAGAGTCAAATTCTTCCATTATATTGTTTCATTATGTTGCCCAAGTTTATTATGCATGTGATCATTTAACCGAAAACGTGATTTGGATAGGCATGATATCAAATGCTACGACCAGGAACCTCCTCAGATGTTGACAAATGAAGCTTAGCGCAAGTTCAGGCAGGAAGACCTATCACTCCGTATTGCACGTCATGGCAATACTCGCTCCATTCACAAGCCTAATTATCGCACCTGTTAATCCCTCTATATATGCTCTCACCTTTTCTATCAGCTGTCTTCCAGGTGTCAACGCGCAACCCTCCTCCACCCCTTCGCCTCCTGCTTCCAACTCAGGGCCAAGCTTAACCTTCTCCCTTCCAACCGGACCTAACCACTTATAACCACCACCAGTGTCTAGACCCAGGGGGGTTCATCGGAAACGGTTCTTTCCCTTCCCGATTGATATCCTACAAAACCTGGGCCTAATCGCCAAAACACCATTTCATTCACGTGTTATAAACTGTCATCATTATGTTTCATTTATATAATGTGACCGATAATAAACATGTATTCCATACATCACGTCTCTCCTGATTGAACTACTACATTACAATGGTGTTGCTGATGTGTTTTATACACATCCTGTTTTTAACATTATTCTGCAGATTGACAGTTGGAGGCGTAAACAGATAAATGGCAAAGGGACTTTTATTTGGTATCCCGACTTCAGTTCATAATCCAAATGATGGGGGGGTCGCTTTGCTTAAACCGAGTTCTCAGACAATTTATTAGCAATGATACATATATTAAATGTATTTGTGTTTGGTCAACTAACCACAATGCAAACCTTGGGTCCAGTGGTATTGCAGAAAAAAACGAGTAGTAATTGGGGCCAAAAATGTTATTTCAACTTTTAAAACTAAAATAAAAAGCTGATGTTCAGGGTTTCATTGGGTTTCCTCAGGTTTCTGTTAAAACTTTAAATATGTTTCTGACATTTTATTGACTTGTTGGAAACGTTTGTTCTTGTATGTCAATCAGCATGCTGCAGTAAGCTACTGGCGGACTGGTTTTTGTCTCTTGTGTCGTTGGGTGTACATTAGTTTTGCTGTTAACTATGATCTCACTGCAGGCCATAGTCTTTATTTGCCCTATCTCGTTATGTTACAGACAGAGGGCATAATCCGAATAAAGACAGAAAGGAACACAGACTCAAGCTGAGCCAACAGGAAAACAAAAGTGTGTACCCTGCTGTGTAGCTGGTCCATCTCAATCACCAGTGATCCCAGTTGGAGTCGGGCCAGCTGCAGTAATCTCTCCCGGAGCTTTCTGAGGTGACAGCCATGTGCTGCAGGAGAGAACAGAGATGAAGGAATTACCACAGAGCAATGTCTGACACATGTTGGGCTCAGGGCTAAGCTTTTGAACTGCCTGGCTCTGTGCTGTAAAGCCGGAGAGAAAAGTATAAGCATGGCGAGAACGGAATAAGAAATAATTAAAGAGAAAAACAAAAACATACCTAGAAGGGCTGCTTGGAAAGAGAGCCAGCCGAGGCCAATGCACATCTTAAGCAATGTTACTTAAAGTGAGAAAAAACTGTGGATCAGCCATGTGATCTGATCTGCTCCAAAATCGAACTGGTTTTTAACTGGCCCACTCTCACACTCTTCCACAAAGTTTCATAGAAAATCGGGCAAGTCGTTTTTACTGTATGATCCGTTATCCCATAATCCAAAAAACAATAACTAACCCTCTGTGGTGATAGAAGACAAACTATTTGAATATGTCACAGCAAACATAGTTTAAAGGTGGGGTAGGTAAGTTTCAGAAACCGGCTCGAGATACACTTTTTGTTATATTCCATGGAATGCTCTTAACATCCCGATAGCAATGAATATCTTAAGTGCTTTGACAAAAATCCATAGAAAAATGTCATCTGTGGAAGCCGTAGTACTGTAAAAAGTACAACCAAGGCCTTTTGATTGCCGCCCTGTCTGTCAGCCTTCCATCTCGTGCACGCACAAATGTATCTCGTGCCCTCATTGGGCGTGCCGTCATTGGGCGTGCATTGCAGCAGTACTTCAATGACTCGCCCAGCAACAGGCGGCCACTTTCACAGTCTGCTGACGTCGTAGTGCGCGTCATGTGTGTTGGAGGAGGTGCTCTGTAAGGAAAGTCTGAAGGAAGGGGCGGATTCTTTTCAGCTGTGTACTTTCAAATGTTAGTGCACTCGAGCCGGTTTCTGAAACTTACCTACCCCACCTTTAACAACGTCAATTGTTTAAAAATATGAGCAAATTATCACGTTTTATGATATCAATTAGTTCTATACACTGCAGGCCAATGTGGTGATTATCAACACGTCAATTGAGGAAATTAAATTGAAAGTTATGAAAGCCTTAACTGTATAATAAGGACATGAGTTTCCATACAGGCAAACAGTTTTTACCTTTAGTTCCTCCGTCATGTTCTCGAAGCGGTACAACACCTTATAAGGTGGTGGGAGGGGCGACGTCAGGGTGACCTCAGTGATGATGCGGTCAGGCGGTCCATGTCACTGATCAACAGACCTGAGCACTCATCATCACATGCTGCAGAAAGAGAACGTAAACACACAGTTAGACACAGCTAGGGCAAATTAGGTCAACTGAATGCTATTAGAGAGGTTTGCTTGGTTTTGTGTGTCGTGTGTGTGTGTGAATGTCTTCTGCAGTTTGGACTAGGCAGAGAGGCAGTGAGAGAGAAGAAGAAAGGATGGTCATACTGTATATGTGTATTTTACCTTCTGAGTGTGTGCCTTATTTGTGAGTCTGTAAACACATCAGTGTGTGATCGCAGTGACTGCTTGTGTTTTGTGTTTAAGTGAGTGGCAACAGAAAAACAGGGCTGTCGATGCATGAAATTCAGCGCACAGAGGAAAAATAACCTATTATGAGTTCACACTGCAGGCTAAACACACACAAACCAACGCACAAACACACGAGGGAATTCACTTCAAATGAGCGCATTCACATTTGTTTTCTTTATTGTGTGTGTGTGTGTGTGTGTGTGTGTGTGTGTGTGTGTGTGGGAGTTCTCTTCTCTTCGATAGCCCGAGGCTGATTTATTGCAGAAATTAAAATGTTTGACAAGGGAAATCAAAGATGAATTAAATAAAAATAAAAACTGTTTTTACTCTATCAATCTCTGACAAAACCGGAAAATACAAATGCATTGATGCAGTCACACGCAGGTACAGTAACGGTGCAGTACATTGTGTGTGTGGGTAAATAGCAATTTATAAAATCCAAAACATTTTAGAATCCCAGTTACAAAGGACTGTAATCACTAACTTCCACAAAGCGTGAAACCTCCTGATCACACTCGTGCAGGGTGTGATTACACACAGAAAGCCTCACTTCCATCACTGAGGGCTCTCTGTGTGTCGCTGCTTGTTTCCTACCTCTACAATTTTTGGCAAGACAAGCCAAGATTCTCAAATTAGCTCCTTTCTGTCCTTCTCTTTCTTGTTTATAACAATATGTCTCGCTACTTCTAAGTTGCTTGGATAATTACTGGGTTGTTCCACCATGCTAGGTTTTTTACACATTCCTTTAAAAAACAAGAAGCATACTGTAAACACATTTTTAACTAGAAAGAAAATTCTAATTGTAGTGGATAGGCAAGATCTCACCAGATTGACAAACACAACTACTTTAATTTCAAAGCAATCTATGACATGTTACTTGGTCAAAGTTAAATGGATTTAAAATGTGTCATTTCAAAAGCTTAGTTGAACAAACTGTGTCACAATTATCTCACTGGAAAAGGTGACACTGTGAGAGTAAGAGTTTTGATTGCAGTGCCAAATCTCAATGTTTATGTCCATTAATGCACATCATCACATTTTTACTTCACAGCATATCAAATATATAGAAGTTTAAAGTATCACAACCATAAAAGCTCAACGGATGCCCAAAGTAAGCCTCAGTGAATGTCAAGGGTTATTTCACACTCAGTTTAGTAACCTTATGCTCACACAGGAAACTCAAACACACATGCACAACATACAAGTGCAATAATACACACCTGTTCTCCTTATATAGTGAGTCACAACTTCTATGCATTTGGTTTGTTGCAGGAAGGACTCTGCTTTCGGCAGGGATTTATTTTAGCATCATCATTGTTACTGTGTAGTTTATGCCTGATATGCTCCTAGTTACTTTGCATCATGACTACACAGACAAGTCCATTCGTTTTCATTTGTCCAGCTTGAGATAAAGACACAATGCTGTACACTTATTTTGACAAAGGCAAGAACAATCTGTTTGGTATAGACTGTAGGAACTGCATTTTAATAAGAGCGTACCATGTAGTTTACTCACATTTAAATATTTGCACGTTTAAGTCAGATTGCAACTTGTGCCTCAAAATATTAAATTAAACAAATATTATGAGGGGACACCATTTTCAAATATCTTATAAGATAAGATAAGATAAGATGAACCTTTATTAATCCCCGTGGGGAAATTCAGTTGTACAAAGCAGCAACAGGGTAAGCGTGAAAAAACAGGACAGCAAAGATTAATAAAATCAAAAATAAATAAAATCAAGAAAAAAGATTATAATGATAATAATAATAAAAGACTATGAAATAGGAGATGAGTAAAAATAAGAGTAAAATAACTGTCAGCATATATACATATTTGGTCATCTAAGTTATAAAGTACGGAATAAGTTAAAGTGACAACTAGTGAAAAGTGAAAATGGACATCTGTACATATAGTGACATATCTATCTATTTGGTCTACTACTAATATATTAATATGGGTTATGGCTATGATTTTGTTTAAAATATGTCTTTAGCCATTTTCTGAGGTTATTAAACTTCCTGTATGTTTCATCCAGTTTTTTTACAATGTGGATGTAGGTAACATTCAATAACGGCAGCCAGGAATTCACATATTCAACATTTGCTCAGTTTGAATGCAAATTATGTTATATTGTAGATTTGAAATTAACTTGAATTTCCCCTTATTCAAGACTGCCGACTCCCTGCTTGGTGACGGCAGAAAGGGCAACACGCAGAGCAATCACTCTTCAACAAGTGCACAGCAGTGTGATCGCTCCACTCTGTAAACCATCAGGACTTGTGATTACCGTTTTGACGTAGAAGCGACCAGTTTGGAGTCCGGGTGCACCGCAGCTCTCGCAAAGCCAATTTATGAACACGCTTTGTGTCTGGACACATAAAGACCTGAGCAAGCAATTTCCTCCCTGACCTGACAGCAGCAATTTCACACTCAGTCTTATTACCTTTTTTCCTCTAAAGCCAGAATTGGCCCTGCCATTATGGTCATATTAAATTTAAATTAGCTCTAAATTACATTGAAATTATATTCGAAATGACTTCAATCTGACTTCTACCACGATTCCCTGGCTCCCACGGCAACCGGAGAAAATGGGCTCCGACTGCTCATTTACATTTCAACGCCAAAATAAAAGAGCACAATATCAGATGGTGGGCCGTTAAATAAAAATGAAATACAAGAAAGAGGAATGTCTGTGGGCCTGATCAATAACCTAATGATACAAAGAAAATGCATAACATAAGATTTTAGTTGTAATGCTATGATTGGGCGTGGCAAAGGTGAGCTCTGGTGAGCATCCTTTTGGGGTTAGTTTCTTCTTTAACACTTTCTTCTTCGATATACTTCCTATTAAAACTATTGGCATTAAGATTTATGTTCTCATAATATAGACCACTTTGTCAGTAAACTTGTAAGTTTCAAAGCTTAAGTATAGGCTTCAAACCAGAGAAGAAAGAAAGAAAGACAGAAAGGAAGCACCAACAATAGTTTAAATATAAATGTGTGAGTCTTACAGATGATGCCAGCGGCTCCACACACATGCCGGTCCATGCACTGGTCACATGACGTCCCCCGATGCCCCGACCCTACACCGGCATTGGCCAGTGACCGGGTCACATGGTCCGGGCTGCGCACCCCACACCGAACACTTACACTCCTCGCAGTGGCCGCCGGGCATCCGTGGGTTACCATGGTAACCAGTAGAACACCTGGACAGAGGTGAATCATGGGAAAGAAGGA